TAAAATATTAGGAAATAGAGCATTTTCTCACTAGAATACTCATAAGTAAACAGTGATCTTCCCTGTTAAAAGCCTACAGTGGCTACAAGAGAAGTACTTTACATGCTAGGTCTGGTCCTTTGGGGTACTGAGTGCCCTCAAACTCCATAGACTTTGAATGGGAGTTGTGATCTGGCCCACATATATCAATGGAGTGTTAATTCAAAAGCTTAATGATTACAATTTAAATGTCAACTATTAGCTGTATCACTGATTTCAGCACAAATATACACCTAAAGTGTTTATCCTACAATCCCAAACTGCCTCCCACACCTTGCTGCTGCCAAAAGAATTATTCCTTCATTAACTGCCAAAATTCCTGCTTCCCCCAACAACTTCTACAATGCAGTTATACATTTTCAATGCAAAGTTCTGCATTACACTGAAAATTTAGACAGCATAAACTGAATTTATTATCAAGGGATACTATACTGATTGTATTATTTATTTCCAGCCTTCGTTCACCTTCATATTTAATTCACTAAAATCTTCCATTTAAAAAAAAATCATCTGAAGATGCCACAGAATCTCTAGTCTGTCATACTGAAGTGCTACAGAATTCAGGAGCTTTTCCTGGAGAATTTAAGTCAGGGTGGTCTCCAAGTATACAAGGCTTAGATCATGTATGCCACAATGAGTGTTTACTAGGATTGCCAACAGTGCACTATTACAAGGGACATCCCTTTTTTTTTTCATCTCTGTACTACAAGATTGGGAGTTGCTAAGTGCTGCAAAAAGCAGCAAGAAATAGCCCTGGCAAATGTAGGTGAGTACTGCTTATTATTGATGATGATAATATTTGGAGGGGTGGGGAGGAGAGGTGAGGCAGGGGTGCTAATTTTTGAAATACAGATTTCAAAATTTGTCCCTTGTTTTTTAAATACAATGTTGGTAACCCTCAGGTTTACTAATGAAATAACTTTACCTGGCATGTGCTTTATGTGTCACAGTTTGATAGCTAAATGATAACAAGAGGTTGTGCAAATGTTTGACGGTAAAATATACACAGAGAATATGCAGTAGATGGATTTTCAACAGTGACTAGTGATTTTTGGGTGCATCCGTTTTTCGGGGTGCTGCTTGAGACACTTTGAAAGGCCCTGATTTTCAGAAAATGCTGAGCACCAAGTACATGATTTTACAGAAATGTAGGCTTATGCCCAGAATAGAGCAGTGATAGACCGATCTGAGTTAACAGCCAAAGAAAGAATAGCCTATCGCTGTAGAGATCAGTTATATGGATTCAAAGAAATTTTGACTGCATTTCTAGATATATTTAGATTAAAAATATTTAGACTGCTCAAAGAAGAACACACTTCCATTCCTTCAAACACCTCCTCCTTTTCTATCCCTCTTTGGTCCCCTGTTTTTCCTATTTGTATACATTTTTGCCTATTTGATTACTATAACCCCCCACTGTAACTATGTATTTGTAGTATTGTCTAGTTTTGTACTGTCTGGTCTTGCAGCTTTGAGTTGTAAAACTGCATAAGTCTTTTGGGGATCCCATGAAGTGTATGGTTCTTGGAAACATATACAAACTACAAGTCATCCACCTTTTTGTATTTTTCACGTTGTCTTTTATAAAAAAAATTAAGTCACAAAAGAGGTGCTCAGCACTCACTCTAGAGAAAATCAGGATCCTTTAAGATTTCTCCAGTTTGGCTCCCAACATTTGAGGTATGCAAAATCACAAAACTTTGGACTTGTATTTCTATTCAGGATCGGTATCTAAGGCTAGTAAAATAAGACTGTTCTTCAACAGTGTCACCCATTTCCATTAACTACTGATCAGAACAAACTAAGGTCTCAATCCTGCAGTGAGCGCCATGTAGGTGAACCTTTGAATCCAAAAAGATCTCATTCCAGGATCAGGATCTAAGTGTTTTACCTGAAGTCAGACAGCAGCATTCACCTGTCCTGCAAAATTAATTACTTTATAGAACATTTTCTCTACAAACCAAAATCCAGATAGAAACACTTCCTGATACTAAACAAATACACAGAGTAAGAAGTCCCATGTCTTGACTTTATTTTGCAAAAAGGTACTTGAACTATGTATTACCCCCTTTGACCCATGCTGTTAGCCAATATTTGTGGTCTTGAGAGTTGTTTCCATTAGCAAGAGAAATTAGTTAAACAGGATTGTATCAAAGAAATACCTCTATTTACAAAGAACGTACACAAGGTCCTGTTTCCCTGAACACAGCAGAAAGCAAACAAGAGACTGTTTCCAAGCTCAATACTCCAAGACTCTTTCAACCCATCACTCTGCCAAAAGGCTCTCTCTTTCTTTACTTTATCTCAGGACCATGTTTACTGTGCCTATCTTGTTGCTTTCTGCCTCCCTACAGCTTCTTCTGATCCACAGCCCTATGCATTTGCAATCAGATCCCAATAAAACTATTCCACCCACACAGCTCAGTTTCTGACTGGTGTTGTATGTGGTTTGTGTTTTCCGTGGAAGCTATTGTTTCAGCTATCTTACTCCAAAAAGAAGCTTATGTGCTGCTTATGTTTATCCTGAATGAAAGTTGGCACTCACGCCCACCAGCTCCAATAAGGTTTTTGACAGCAGTTAGGGGTCAGACATGTCTTCTGGTAGCCACTGAAATCTTCGCCAAAAATATTCATGAATAGTTCCCTAAAATTAAGGCTGCAGTACTTTTTACATTCAAACATCTCTAATGGATGATCCTGCAATAAATTCAGTATTAGTAGCTCCGGGCGTGCCAGAGAATACATTGGATTTATAATATATGGCATACTGCCATTATGTTCTGCAAGAAATTCCTGGCAGCATGGTTAAAAAAATGACACATGAAAGGTGTGATTTTTTTTCTTATACACTAAAGCCCCTTTATATCACTCTGGCAATGTTAAGGGGGTCATGTGAGTGTAATGTAATTTATTTCATGTTAAGGTCTGTTTACGTTGCTATCTGCGACTATTTGTATGTTAAACTGTTCTGCTCTGAAAAGGATATACCAAGAATCCTGCTTGCCTTTAACATTTCAACACACTGTCAACACTGAAGAACAGTCAGTCAAGGAAAAGCAAAGGGACAGTGTGATATTCAAACAGATGCTTGAAAATACATACACAGTGATATGTCTAATTTTAAGCCTGCTAGCCTTGACAGCAACTCTTTAAACATATAATTCTGCTGTGAACCAACTGGCATATTTTCTTCCTGCGACATTTTCTTCTCTCACAAGTGCCACAAAATGCTATTTATCATCTTGACTACAGAGCTGAATGAATAAGTACCCTGATAGATCAGGACATACTAAAGAGTCACGTTGCAAGCCACCTTCTCATTAGATTTGAAAGTCTACAGGATGACTAATAGAACAAAATAATGCAAAAAAAAATTTAAATTCTACTAGAAAATCCTTTTATCTGATAGATAGGTGATCTACTACACCTTAATGGTGATCACATAAAAGTTGTTGGTTGTTTTGTTTTCCACTGGATTGCTCTGCTATTAACTGATTTATTCACTTCAAACTTCACAACAGGCTGCATTCACATAAAAGTTCTCTTCTATAATTCAAGCATGCTCACTCAGCAATTTTTTTTAAACATTCTCTCAATGCCTTTTAAGCACCACTACTATGATGGAAGTCTTCCACTTGAAATTTGGTATGTTTTCCTTTGTCTTAATACAATGGATTTTAAATGGATATTTCCTGTAGATACTATTGTACTTCTGAACTCTGACACAAATCAGTATTTTTAAAAACTGTGGACAAAAGGATCAAAAATCAGGGCCAAACCCTTAAGGCAAAAAGAAGACAGAAAACTAAAAATGTATGTAGTTAGACCAAAGAAAACATTTAAAAAGTATAATGAATTATCCCACTATTATTTCAAGTCAGAGACAAATTCTTATGATTGAACTCCTAGGGCTAAATGCTGTACTCCACTTCCTGAGAGATGCAGCCCAACAAGATTGGTGGGGGGCAAAGATGCAGTTTTGTTATGTTTGCACCCTATGAATTCTAGGCTGCTAGAGGGCTGAAACAGCAGCCCATAGCCTAGGCACAGTAGCCCAGAACCCCTGGAGCACTTGATGTTATTGGCGTGCTCCTTCTGCCACTGATATGCCCCCTACACCAGGGCTTGCGAGTAGGGTGAGGTGAGGGATATTTACACAGGATCTGCATTACCCTTGCACTGGAGAAATTTGCCCCAAGCCTCTTGCAGCTCCTGTGTAGCCCCTATGAGCTGCCAGAGTAGTGTATGGGGGCTGGAATAGTAGCCAAAGTCAGCCCCCTAAAATTAAGAGAGAGAATAAGCAGCCTCTTTAATGCAATATCATTCATGGGAATTCCTGAAATCCAAATCTGAGGGCTGAAATCCTGCAAATTCTTATTCAAGAGAGTAGCCTTACACATGCAAGCAGTCTCACTCAAGTCAATGGAATATGCCTTGTGAGTAAGAGTTTGCAAGATCAAACCCAAAAGAAAAAAACATACATTGCTTTTCTGACACATTACAATAGAACCTTGTTTCAACATGACTTGTGAACTGAGTGAGCCTTTTATCTTTTAAAAGTAAGAATTGACACTGCTATTACAAAACCTGCAAACAATTTAAAAAGTGAGAACAGATTATCATGCAGTATAATTGTCCCTCACTCAAAAGCAGCAAGACATTCTTTTAAAGTCTTCAGATGTAACTCAATGATAAATTACAAAAATAAGACACTACTTATTTTTGCTGATCTTATTTTCTTTACTTAAAGTTATTTCTCATTAATGGAATTTTAAGGAAACTGAAAAAATTTAAGCTGTAAATTATTTTGGAATAAGGTACATTCAACTATCTGCTTTCGCCTCCTTAAGTATTTAATCATTTGAAATGCATACTTAAATAGACCTGGAAAGATTAAGATGCCAGAGCACTTTATGTATCCTTCTGAAAGAAATACTTTGAATAAAAAAAAAAAATCCTACCCGCCGGTAACTCTGCCATTATTTCAAACGCCCGGTGCATGTTTCTCCGACAGATATCCACTGGATCATTCAAGAGCTGGGACAGGGCAGGAATGACTCCATTTTCTATAAAGCCATCCCTAAAATCAGAAAGCTGAGTTTATGGGAGATTTAATTAGGCAAAACAAAACTCATAAATCCTACCAATGTGTAATAATCTCACTGACATTCTGTTCTAAATCTAAATCTAAATCATTCCAGCAATCTTGATGAAACTTGGAAACTGCTGCTGAGTATTCTTCACTTAAACTTTAGCTACCATCTCCACTCTCCAGTACCATCCAGTAAACTCTGGGGAATATACTTACCTGCCAACATTATGAGTAGCCATTATATAAAGGACTTCGGTTGTTTTTTCTCGAACAGTGCTATCTTCGTCAAGAAGCAAATATTTCAGATTATCCAGGAATCCTAAAAGACAGAATAGATTTTATTTTTAATATTTCTTTACTTCAGGGTTAGTTTATTAAAATAGCAATGATTGGGTCAAACTCTGGCACTAACACATCAAGAAAGAAAGTGACTTCCAGAGTTGAAGATTTACCACCAAAAATGCCATACCACGAATCTCCCAGTGTTGAAATTTCACAACTGTAGTGTATGAGTTATAGCTGTAATATGCTTAACACAGCTAGCATCACTAAGGGCATGATTCAAAACCCAGTGAAGACAATGGAAAGATTTTTGTTAACTTCAGTGGGCACTGGGTGGGGCCATAAGTAATTAGGCTGCTGTGTTCTGCACTAGCTAAGGCCCTAATCCTGCAAATACTTATGCATTTGCTTAACTCTAAGCTTTTAAGCTAAGAGTAAACCCACTAAGGCAGGCATTCTCAAACTTTTTTGCTGGACCCCCTTTGAAAATATTTCAGGCTGTGATGACTGAGCCCTCCCCGCACCCCTCTCCAATACCATTCCACCAATGGGCGGCAGGTATCATATAGGCTGGGGAGGCCGTGCGTCTCCAAACAGCCAGGCCCATGCTCCGCGACTCCCCCTGTGCAGTGGTCCCAGAGCTGGGGCTGCATTGCCCATCCTCCCGGCACTCTGGGGCTGGGGCCACATCGCCCCGCACTCCAGAGCCGGCAGCCACAGGGGGTGGGAGGGTGTAGAAGGGGCAGGGCCGGTGGTTCACGCACTGCCCATGATGCCACCATTACTTCTGCACTGTTGCTAGCGGTGGCGCAGCCTTCCGAGCTGGGTGCCCAACCAGCACTGCACTAAAGTCAATGGAGCTACTCATGTGACTAAGAACATACATGTTTGTAGGACTGGAGCCTAAAATTTTTGGACTTTTTTCAAGGGTAGCCCCAAGCAGAAGTTATGTGAAGAAGAAATGAACTTGATTTCCTTACTTGGCCATACATTTACTAGGCCATTATTGGCTGGGGGTGGAGGACAAGTGGTACACCTGGTAGCAAGGGCAGAATATGAGTCTCACATTATTACCTTTTTCAGAGTAGCAGTCGTGTTAGTCTGTATTCGCAAAAAGAAAAGGAGTACTCCTTTTATTATTACCTTTGCTACTGTAGTTCGGATTAAAAAATAACCTGACAGGTTCCTAATGGGATGACCAGTATTCCTGGCTAGAGGAAATATCAGCAGAGGAAGGACTTCAAGAATTGCAATGGGGCATGGAGATTAGAATGGTGGCAGAGCTGAGGCAAATTCCTTCTTTAGTTTAAGTTAAACTAGCTATAGGTATGCAGCACCCGAAGTGCCAAAAAAATGCATAGGAGACTGAATTCAATGGAGCTGTGCCAGAGCTGAGTTGGGGTTTGTTTGTGGAGGTTTTTTTATATGACCATTTGCAGCAGAAGCTTATTTAACCTGAATCACAGAATATCAGGGTTGGAAGGGACCTCAGGAGGTCATCTAGTCCAACCCCCTGCTGTCATTTAGCCAATCCCCAATTTTTGCCCCACATCCCTAAATGGCCCCCTCAAGGATTGAACTCACAACCCTGGGTTTAGCAGGCCAATGCTCAAACCACTGAGCTATCCCTCCCCCCACCTACCCACACCAAAGGAAAATATTGATCCAAATCTGGGGAAAACAGAGGTGCTAAGATACAATGCAGATGACTCTGTTATAATATTCATAGTTTTGTAAGCCTGACAAATATTTTATTCCATATTATTTAAAGGTTCATCAGAGTAGACCCTGATCCTGCAATGTGAACTGATGGTTTGGACTGTTACAACTGTGCAGAATGCCAATGAGGTCAACAGGACTCCACATGGATGTAAATGTCAGCACTATCTGATCTACGTGGGTGGTTTTCCATGAGTGGACTCTATCCCTGTGCAAAGCCCCAATGAAGTCAGTAGATCTGCACGTGGGCGTAAGTGTCCAACTGCGCAGAACAGCCTGAATGCTCGGGGCTCCGAGAACAACAGTTCCACCCTCAGACACAATGTAGGAAGAAAGTTAAAGATAACCTACAACTAAAAAAAAGTGGGTTTGTGCCCTGTTTTCTTCCTGTATGCTCGTCTGAAAGGTTTTTCTTCCCCCAGCCATGGGGGGGGGGGGTGGGTGGCTTACATTTTTTACATATTAAAAGTCAGGTCTCCCTTACTTTTTGTCTCCTGGAAGGCTTATTTACTACAGGAGAACTGGTAGCATTAAGATAGCAGAAATCCCATGCACATAAAATCTAATTAACGGATAGGGAAAGTCTTTTTCTCTTGGACTATTTACAACTTTTTAAAAACATTTGCTAAACCAGGGCATGTGAGGCATGATGTTCCTTGTATTTCTGAGGTAAAAAACAAGCAGGAATAAAATGAAAACCTTTACAGGGCTTTTGTACATCCCAAAGAAAGAAACAAAACCACTTGTCCCCTTTCCCAGGGCCAGGTATTCTGGAAATCTGTGGCATCAGAGATCACTTACCTAGTTTTATTGCTTGGTAAACATTCTCTGGGTCATGCACCAGGTCACATAGGGCCATCAGTGCCCTCTGCCGGGTCAGCAGCTCAGGGGACTTTAACTCCTCATTCAGTTTAGGTAGGGCCCTCTCCCCAAAAGCAATAGGGGCTTTAGTGGGGTCAATGTCGGGGGGCAGTTTGGCTGAGATACGAGCATGTGCCATCCTTAGGTACGAAGGGATGGATTCCCTCTGTTCGCTAAAGACACCCCAAAAATCACTCTCCCAGAGGGGGTGGCTAAAGTACCCGAGGAAGCAGGAGCTCCTGCTTTCAAGTCGCACTAAGCTCCCAGCCCCAAGCAGAGCTACTCTGGGAAGGAGTCAAACGGTGACGAGTCTAGGACAGAGGATGATGGGGGGCCGGGGGGAGGACGCCCCCCCCCCCCCGTTTATTTCTGTCTCTGTCGAATTCTGCTGCGCTGTCTCGGCTGGATAGTTTGGGTCTGACTGGTGTAAAGCCAAAAAACGAAAGGAAACCCCCCCCCCCGGGGGCAGGTTTACAGTGGGGTAGCTGGGGGAAGGGGGCTTTTTCCCGCCCTCCAGAAACGTTAAAAACCGCCCCTCTGACCGAATTACGGGAGCAGGGTCGTTTTCAGGGCACCCCCCGAAGCCGTTGGTTTGGTCTGAAGTTTAAAAACAACACCTCGTAAGGGTCTGTCCTGTTTAAAAAAATCCCAATCCGAACGGAGCCAAGTGGGTACCCCGCCGGGTCCCGCTCCTCGCCCCCCTGCGCCGCGCCTCGCCCAGCTCCGGCGCCGGTTGCTAAGCAGCGGAGACGCTCTCTGTGTGCGCCCGGTTCTGTGAATAGCTAACTGCGGGGCCTGCCACTGCAGGCTACCGGCCTGCGCAAACAGCGCAGCTAAGGCATTCTCCGCTTGCTGCTAAGCTGGGCCAGCGCCAGTGACGTAGTTGGTGAATAGGAAACTGGGGCCGTTATTAGCGTTGGGGAGGGCACGGAGGAGAGAAGTGACTGAACTATCGAGCTGGGGAGGCGATGTCCCTCCTGGGCGGGACCGGGAGAGAGACTCTTCTTAGGAGGGGTGAGCCCCCCTCTTTTTAGGGCCGGATAATGGGGGGCCCGCTGATAATCTCGCCTTCCTTTGCGGGGGGAGTGTGTGATCCCCGGTGAGGAGAGTGTTTATAAATCCCTGGGGAAAGTGGAGACGCCCCCAACCTGCCCCATGGGGGGGAGGGCGCACCTGTATGCGTTTGCGTGGGTCATTTGAACCCTCCCTTATCAGTGTTTGAAATCTGCCTTCTTCAAATGAGAGCCATGGAGAGGCCCTCCACTAGGATTGTTGGCCTGCTGGTCACTCCTTTTATACATCCTGCCCAGGGTCCCTGGGCCAAATCCTGCCCACAGCTAGACTCCCTGCAACCCGCTGACATCACCGAGGCTGCATGGGGTGTCACTGAGGCCAGAATTTGGCCTATCTGTGATTATACATATATAATCAGGGGCAGATGTACACAGTATCCCAATGTATATGAGGATATAATTAAATCATTTGTGGAGAAAGGCCAGCACCAGGGTTCACTCTGAGGAAAATGGGAGTGTAGCCTGTATAAAGATTCAAGAATCAGGCCCAAAGATGGGAGAAGAGACAGAGGAGAAAAAAGAAGGAGGTTTGGGGAAGTCAATACAAAATAATTTTATTTAGCCTGGTAATAAAGAGAAGGAGGTGCATTATTTACCTGTACCTATTATTTGTAGGTAATAATATTGAACTTGAATGATTTCAGACAGTCAGAATGCAGGGATATTGCACAGTGACTGACCTATAACTGTATGCTTATGTCTCTTTTATGCCTCTTTCTGCACTCTAGCTGAGGAGTTTGGGTTTCCATAATTACTGTAAGATTATTTCTCAATAGCTGTATGGTATGCAGATCCTTGTTTTCTGACCATATATGCAGCATGACTATTATCCAAGTGTCTCCTGCAGGCTTAAAGAACTATATAAGCTGTTGGTTATATTTCTGGGTGCCACTCACTCTCTTGCTGCATGACTTTGGGCAAATCAATTAACTTCTTGATTCAATTTCCTGGTCTGCAAAATTAGGATAATAATATTCAACTTTATAAAGTGCTATGAGGTCCTCAAATGAAAGGTGATATATAAATGCAGAATATTGTTGTTATTTTGGGGAAAATATGCCGGAATGTTAAAGACCAAAATATATAAAAAATCTTGATTTATAATAAGGCAACACTTTTTAATGGACCTATTTGCAGACTATTATTTCTGTAGAAAACAAAATATTTAAAATTATACTAATATTGACCAAGAGAGAGGCATTGTTTAGTAATTTAATAGTGGGACTGGGTGACAGGCACTCCTGAATCCTAATCTTAGCTCTGCCTCTAATTCTTTCTATAGCCTTGGAAAGTCATTTAGCTGCTGTCTCAGTTTCTCCATTTTTAAAGTGGATTAATATTTGCATACCCCACAGAACTGCTGTAAATATTACAGTAGATGGGTATTTTTTTGTGAAGTGCTTTGAACATGAAAACAACAATCTAATAGCTTAGTGTTCTCGGTTCAAGAAAGCCAAGATAAGAGTATCTAGCCTGGTTCATGTTATTTGATTTAGAGTTCTACTCTTACAGGGTGAAAGGACTGATCTGCATTCAAATTGGTATCACAAGGGCACAAACAAGCTCAAGATTCTGTGATTTCCTAATAAAAAGAACAATAAAAAAGAAGGCTCAGCAGATGGTTGAAGACATTTTAATCCCTCTGTATGTGAAGATGTAAAAGTGGATATTGTCTCAGATCAAATATGCATAACAGAAGAACTTGTGTAAGATTATTTGATTTAACAATGCTTACATCATACTAAATCCCCATGCTTCATAGAGACTGGCACAGTCCTGTGTTTGCCTTCCTCATACTGGTAGTTCTACTGAAATCAACGGGACACCTCTTGTGAATAGTAAGTAAGATTTATGACCTGCTCCTTCTTCTCCCATTTAAATTAATTATAGCTTTGTTATTGACTTCAATTGGAGCAGAATAGGGTCTCTTGCCTTTTAATTGAAAAGTATATATTTAATTTATTTATGTTAAAGCTTTTGCACCTAAAACAATTAGTGAAATGGTTTCTCACCATGCAGCCTTTTAAGAGAGAAGGAAATTTCAGGCATATTTTAAAAAAAGGGGGGAGGGGGGAGTCATATTTCACATCAAACCTATGCTTCTAGGGGACTTTGAATTCCTGAAGGTGTGAAATAGCTGTATCAGTGGCCTCGGGACCTTATGAAAACCACGCCATGTGATGCTGGGCAAACACCTAAGATACATAGTAATCATTATTTTGATGCACTGGTTTGTCAGCATCCCTCCTGATACTTTTGTCACAGAAATAAAACACGTAGCTCAGAAAAAAACTTTGGTGCAGCCAAATGCTTGAAAAAGATCCAACTACTGTTTTAAAATAGCTGAGAGTTGGAGCCTATAAGTTAGAGACTGAAAAGGGCACAATTATATGGGAATGCTAGTTAATCGCTCTAGAATAAGATTGATTTAAAAACAAAAACATTTTAAAACAATTGAAAGTAAATATAAAATTATGCTTTCCATTAGACATACACTGCTTTGGCTGCTGTTCTCCACCTATGCAGGGTTTTGGCCATATGGCTTTACCTTATGCATAGATCTACTAGTCATACCCTCATTTCTGGGCCATGCCCACATTTCTTCCTCCACATTACTTTCCGGAGACCCACCACAGATGTGACATCTAGATTATATGAGGATTATTTCTTCTGTACATTGTTTCCACTTGGTAGACCCTTACGCATCCACGTAAGTGGTCTTGAGACTTGCCTCTGTTTTTAAGTATCAGCCCATTAATGTTTATGACATAGTTTTGTGTGTAAGTTTAAAATTTGATAGCTTGGTAGGCAGGAAGCATATGTCACTGCAATGCTGATTACCTCACTCTCAGGGAGCTCTGGGTTCTCACGCAGGCGACTGTGACATGTTCTGGCATCAGGGAAAATCAACTGTTTGTGCAACTTGTGCTACAAAAAAGGTTACTTCCCCACTCTTCACAAAGCAGTTAAATATTCATGCCCATGAACTAATTTTCATTATGGTTGTGCAACAGCTATAAAAATCAGAGTTCTTAGACAGGATTTTACAAAGACAATGGTATGGGTCAGTCAGATCAGTAGAATTAACATCAGACAAAGGAATAGATGCTGGCTTGTCATTGAAATCCACCGTGGCAAACTTTGTTACTGTTAAAATGGTTTTCAAGAAAACATACTTCTTTTCTTAATCTCAGAATTTGGGAGCAAATTATCCAGTAAACCAGCTAGTCCCATATTGTGGGTTAGAAACTCATTGTGTGTACACTTCCATTGGGATGTGGGCTCTTCCCTTTGCAGAATGGGAAGAGGGTGTCCTGAATAACCTGCAGACCTCCCAATATCCACAGGAAACCAGGCCATCCCTACAAAGGACCCGTGCCTCCACTCTGCCTTCTCTCCTACTTCCTTGGTCCTTTGGCAGGAGCCTTGCTGTCCTGGGTTTCTCCAGAGGCCATTAGCTTTGTACACTCCTTCAGGAGTAAGAGGGGCAGCATTAATTTATTCTAGTTTTCTGAAGGATGTTGGAGAGAAAGATGGAGAGTAGCTGGCCTGCCAGACCCAAATTCCCTCTCCATCCATAGAGTCTATTTTACATAGAATACTGATAAAGGTGTTTCTAGCACTGATGGAAATGCGGGATGATGCCATGAAGGCAGTGTGTCCCTTTTTTTTCTCTATGACCAGGTCCCCTGCAACCCCGTAGGCAGAGAAAATGATCTGGGCCTTAATACAGACCTCTGGTCATAGTCAGCTTTAAAGTTTTCTTATTTTCCTCAGTGTTCTTTGACAGAGTTGTATTTCTTACATCATTATCCATGCTCCCTCATTGTACAGTACAGTTTATTGATTTACTTGCTGGGGGAGTGGGACTGAAGCATGAGCAAAGTAAATATACTGGGTACCAACAAAGACAACCTGTTTATTTAAATTGGTTACCTTGGTCTCTGTTGCACTTTGGATTAATTGAGAGTGGTATTGATTTTTATAGTTCCTTTTGTGAAAGGGCTCTAGGAGACAAGCAGTGACTCAGCCTGTGTACACAGGGCAATTATTTACATGCTTAGGATGTTCTAGAACAGAATAGGGGGAGGTTAAGGAAGCAGCTTACATGGTGAGGCTGTCACCCAGGCAATAAGGTTTTTGTTCTGATTTTAAATTATTAATTTAAAATGTGAAAACTAGCTAAAATCTATCCCCATTAGCCACAAAGGGGACTTATACGTAAAGGGCTAAATCCTTTATAGATTCCAAGGCTAGAAGGGACCATTGTGATCATGTAGTCTGACCCTCTTGTATAACACAGGCCATAGAACTTCCCCCAAATAATTCCTAGAATAGATCTTTTGGAAAAACAACCATTCTTGATTTAAAAATTGCCTGTGATGGAGAATCCCCCATGATCCTTGGTAAATTGATCTCACCTTGTACACACACAGGTAAGCTAATTTATTTTCCTAGGACTATTCACATAAGTAAAACAAGCTGGATTTAGTCCAGGGGTTGTAGAATTGATAACATTCCAGCTTCTCTGGATGATCTATTGACAGCAAACCCTGGGGTCTTGTTTGTTTTTGCAATATGCTTATGTTCACATGAATGACTAAAAATATTTAAAAGTAACTGCACACAATAGAGAACAAAAGCACTGGTTCTAGGTAGCAGATTAGGAATTCAGCTGTGTAATATTCATTGTGTATAGTCTGAAAAAATCATTGTAGTTTCTCAATCTTTCATTGTACATTCATGTGTCATTTTGTAAGGTACGGATCCAAGTGGGATTGCCCCTCAAGACTTTGCTCCAGGACTTCCAGGCTGGACTCCAGGACTGAGAAATAGAATGTGAGAGATTTCTTTTATTCACGATTTTTAAATCTCATTGAAAGAAATGGCAAAATCCTTCATTATACAAGATTAGAATTAATCCATAAGCCTGGAATAGAGGGAAGGACGGTATGCATTGTGTACTAATAAATAGGTTGGAGAGTGCTCCTACCGTGCAGATCTGCATTTGATCCTCAGGGCCTGTCTCTTGCTCCCAGGATGTTAGGAGGTGAGATCAATTAACGGCTTGATAGAACAAACAATTCTTTGTATAAAGGACTCTTTAAAACAGTTTGCTGGTGAACTGTGCAGCCTGATTCTGAAGTTGAGCTGAAATCCATTTAGCTGAAATTCTGAAAATTCCGCATGGGTTTCATCACATTCTCTCAGGGGTTCCATCGTTAGTATCCTTAATATTACTTTATTGCTAGTTTCCCAGCCCTCCAGGCCCTTATCTAAGGGGCTGATCCTGCAAGTCTTTACTCAGGCCCACCACCCACTGAATTCAGTGGCACTATCTCCTTAATGCAGAATCAGAGGCCCATTGTGCTTACTAACCAATAGCATCTGACTACCCACATCCATAAGTAACCAGTTCAGCCCTTTAAAACTGCTCCTTGTTAGAGAGATCTGCAGTATCCCTATGTAGTTAGTTACTCTTTATTCCAGCTCCACCATCAGATGGGGGGGGGCGGCGGGGTGGAATGTTTCAAACCAGTTGCTATGGTCACGCAGTAGCAGGCGGAGCGGCTCGTGTAGCTGCGAACCTGCTGCATCAGCTGCTGCATGGTGAGTCCTACTTTGCTACATGATCAGTTTTCTTATTGGAAATGTCTTTATTGTAAGTTCTGGTAGCAGATAATTACTCTAATAAAGGACTTTTCCCTGCATCCCCCAAAGCTACATTGTGTAGCTAAACGGATGTGTTTGGAATACGTCTCTAGGTGGCTGGGGTGACTGGGATTTCTTAATATATGCATGATTCATATGAACATTACCCTTCTTCCAAGTCACGTTGTGTATTGACTTAATTCTGTCTGAGCTGCTTTTGGATGACAGTTTTGTTCAGTATCAGGAAAAGTGACAACTTCATGATCCTTCCGCCTCCAACCAATTGGATGAAATGATGTCATGTAGGATTTATAATGTAACATGCATTGGGAAGGGGCATGAGGGAGATTTCAAATAATTATGAGAAAGATTTTTAAATGTTGTGTTGAAACACCTTACAAAATTATTTATCCGATGGAGAAACTATAAACACTTGTCTGTAAAATTAATCCCTGAGTGAGGGAGTCTCTTCCATCTTACTGAAATGAGACTTGGCTGCATTGTAACCTCAGAAAGCCACTCATTGCTGTTACAGCAACATAGTGAAAGAGTTCCTTTTAGCTAAGAAATGGGGCATTTATTACAAAGTGAAATCAAAGATCTACAAGCAGTGGGCTGCCAACTGCCTGGTTTTGTACCAGGAAAACAAAGATGCAGTATCCATAAGGAATGGTCATTTCCTTTTTTCATTCATGTTTGGGGTCTGCTGAGATGATTGTTTGTCTCCTTTACAGGTTTCATGTCTAACAGAGACAGACTGGATTTGGAGGATGAAGTCCAGCCTAATGCATTTGATTCCTCCAGTGAGTAGGGACAGAATAATCTCCCACTTCCCCAAGGTAAGCAGCTCCTCCTTCCTGTGCCCATACAGCTTGGCACCTGGCAGGCTAAGTAGTGCCTTCCCCACCCACCCAGGAGTTTTTTCCCCCCATTTACATACAATTATTTTTTGCTTTTTTTAAATGCAGAAATTTTAATAATTTCTCAGCATTTCAGAGGGACCATCATTTCTCCGTTCCCTTCCAAGGCTGGTATCTCAATTACCAACCTTGATCCCTTCCTTCAACCAAAAATGGACATACATCTTGACACAAAAGCCTTGTCTGTAATTCCCACCTGTTCTTTCAACTGACACAGGTAATTGCCACAGTTAGGGAGTTGTTACAGTATTTTGGGAAAGATGAAAAATGTGGCTGGGATTTAATAGGCAAAAAAGGAAAATAGATCGAGGGGGGGTTATAGGATTTGATGGAGTTTTCTTTCTCGTGTTCTTTTTTTCAGTTGCTCAAAAGTTCTTTAAACATAGTCCTTTTGGGCTGTGCCTGAAATAGTTCATGCTTGATCTCAGCCCAAAGATTTTGTTTTTAATTTGGTCAGAGTCAGCTCAATTGTTTAATAAATTGTGCAAGCATGGAGGGAAATACACTTTTTAAAATATTCCATTTGAAATGTTTGCACTTGCATAATTCCCTCTAGCGAAAGAGGTGTTATTAGCCTTAGCCTGCACACCTGTAAAATCTTGCAGGATACAAAGGTAACAACCACTGCCTAAATCATGCAACAGTCAGAGCAGGGTACAATAACCATAAGAATAAAAGACCAGCCATACTGGGTCAGCCCTGTATCCTGTGTTCCGACAGTGGCCAATGCCAGATACTTCAGGGGGAATGAACAGAACAGGTAATAAGTGATCCGTCCCCTGTTGCCCATTCCCAGCTACTGGGAAACAGAGGCTAGGGACATTTAAATTCGTGATACTATGACTGAATTTAAGAAATAGCAGGGACTTATTGGGAGGGTTGTGGGAGTGGGAAGGGAAGGGAAATCAAGCCTGCTTTATTAGAAATCAGTCATAACAGAAAGAGCTCCCTGCACAAGATGAGATATAAAAGACAGTGTAGTAAGAATGACCTGATGGATAGCATGACCACAATTGTGAATTTTTTTCATTTTATGGAGGAAATTAAAGTTCCTGAATCTTTAACGCCAGACAAAAAACACAGAGATATCTTGTGTACTGTGGAGTTTATTTAGGGATTTACATGATGAAGGAGGCTTACACTCAAAAAAGTGATAAAATAAGTGATGGAGATGATATTTTTGTTGTCTGAAGGGGAAGTTGCTGGTCTACTTGGGAAGTTATTCCTGATTAACTCCATGTGTGGATGCTTTTAATCTGGAATAGTAAATCCACTTTAAATTCATACCCTGTTTTATTCCAGATTAATTTTCATGTGTAGACAGACCCACATACTGTGTAGCCTCACTGCCTGTTAATCCAGGGAATCTTTCTCCCATGCCTGTCCTTGATGAGGGCTTCAAATTCATCATCTTGTAAGGAGTCCAGCCAAATGGGAACAAATTAATATGTTAGACATCATCCCACAATACATCCAAGTGACTGCTCTGTATTATCTGCAGTGGTACACACCAGAGGCCTGTCTCCAGTTCAAAGATCACTTCCATGCACTGGTCAGGAGTGCCTGTCAGCAACACAATACTGGGACAGTTGGGTGAGTCTCTGTAATAAACTGGCCTTTACATTTTAAAAATTATATTAAGTTCTTATGTATACTTTCCTTAGTGTGTTAGCCTCACTTCTCCCCTGCCCCCATGTATTTTAAGCTGTGTCTGTACTAGAATTCTCAGTCATATTTGACAATAGTTGTCCAATGGAGTTCCTTCTGCTTCCCACAAACTGGTGCTGAAGTTGTTTTTCCTGCTGATGTAGACAGGGTCAGCTAAGTTCAACAACTTGGGTCAACCACGGTCAGGGTCATCCAAGTCCAAAGGGTCAACCATGATTTTTAAATGGGTGTGGAAGTCTGTCCTGTCTACACCAGCAGTGTCCTGTCTACACCAGCAGGACAACCAAGTTCAAAACTAGCAGTAGGGAATAGGGTAGATGTAGCCTTGCTGTCCTCCTCTCAGTTGACACCAATACTGATTGAGTATAGAAAACCAGTAATTAATACAAATCTTTGGGCCAAATTCTGTTTTCATTTACGCTGGTGTAAATGTGGAGTGGCTCCATTTTCAGTCAATGGAGTTACCTAGGAATCTGGCCGTAACCCTTCAAAACTATTTCTTTCAGGAAAACAGACATTTTATACTTTCTCCTTAAAGCTGGAGCATTATTCTGGAGAAGAATAATATATTGTGCTGAGAAATGCAAATCAATTTTCTTCTTTTGCCTTTCATAATGCTTCTTGAATTGTTTTTTTGAAATGTCATCTCTCCCAGAGCAGGCTTTCCTTTTACTCGTTCCTTCAGTTAAATTGTAAAGTTAAATTTCACAAACTCAGCCTTATGATTTCATTGCTGAGTCAAGGCAGAGAGTTGAGCTGTGAGGGAGATCATCCCTATTCAACTACAATAAATAGTTTAAAAATAAAATTGAGAAGGTTACTGGCAAAGTATGTCAATGATATAAATATTCCCTTGGGGGGGGGGTTGCTCCAGTGTGAAAATCTCTCTCTCTAAGGGAAGCTAACTGTATTCTGAGTACTCAGAATGTAGTTTACTACTCTTAAAGACAAAACTTGTTAATTTTATTGAGCTATATCCATCTTTAAGCAGAACTCCTCATTCATCTTATTGGGAAGTCTTGCTTAAAAACGGAGGATATAAGGGCAGACTATGGCCCTGTATTGCTAGTTTTTCTTTGCTGTACATCTGTTGCAGGTACCCCAGGGCCATTTTCTGAATCTTCAGCATGCTGGCAAAATACTATTTACTGAACAGAAATATTCTTCTCATCTGTAACCCAGACATTATTGCTTTTACAAGAATTATAGTAACTCCCCTTTCATTTAATCTGGCCCCAGTGAATGGCTAAAAGGATTTTTATTTTGGCTCCTTAATAAAATTAAAGCCCTCTCTTTTCAATGGTCACTAGATCGGACCATTCTTATGCTGCTTCTTGGCAGACAGCTGATGGTTTGACCCAATATATACAAAACAAGAGCATTACTTGTCATGAACAGCTGTTATTTTCCTTTCTTATTATTTTTAGTTATGTGGAATATTTCTCCTCGCATGCAGCAAAATAGTGTGAGCAATTCAGAGACCGGTGGACCATATATTAAGTCTCTGTTCATGTTCCATCAATGTGTGAGCCCCAGAGTATTTTGTTCTACTAGGAGTTAATGGAAGTCACATATTCAAACAGTTATATTCTTCTTTTGATTCCTTTTGCCTTTAATGGAGCTGATTTCATCAAGTATCATATCATCAGCAGTTAATAATCAGGGATCAGAATTTCATGGAGCCGTGATATAACCTGATAGATTGTTAAATAAAAGATTTGTTTCTCTTTTAAAAATTCAGTATAAAACTATTAAATCTACTAAGCTATTACTGTAGCATACACACAGGAGACACTAAATTATCATTCAGAGGTTAGTTCATTGAAATCAGTCACAGTTACGCACCCACCTGCAGCTCCTTAAAGACATACAAAATTACAGTATTAAGAGTACAACTTGAGTAACTTAAAGCCCATCCGCTGCTTCCTGTGGGAGGATCCAGAGCAAAGAGGATTATTTGAAGCCAGCCTCAGATTAATGCTATTCCAAATAGTCAGGAAATCTTTTGGCACTAAATGATGTGTTTTCTCCAGAGATAAATCTCACAGTAGATTAGTCATTATAAGCTATTTTCTTGTTCAGGTCCATAGGACCCGATACTGTGCCATTTGAGTCAATGAGTCTTGCTGTTGATTTTAGTGGCAGCAGGATTGAGGCCGCACATTTCCAAATGCTCACAAATACTCACAAATACACAGATTCTTATATGCCGTTATGTGCAAATTAGGGTGACCAGATGAAACGGACAAAATATTGGGAGACATGGGAGAAACAAACAAACAAACAAAAAAGCGGCCGGAGCTGAGTTGCCAAAGCAAAACAAAAAACCCGCCGGAGCAGCCAAAGCCGTAATATTGGGACAAATGGGGTCCCGACCGTGCATCGGTCGGGACGCGGGACAAATAACTAAAAATCGGGACAGTCCTGCTTTTATTGGGATGTCTGGTCACCCTAGTGCAGATGCTCACACCTGGACACACACACATAAACATACAGTACAAGCATTCTTAGTAGGAGAGAGTCTCTGCTCCAAAGAATTTACAATCTAAGAAAAACTGTACAGTGTAAGAAACACAGTATTTATCTCCGCTCACAGTATCCAGTTCTTTTTGCAATTGCAAATTCAGGGTCCTCCCTTCTCCTCCTTTAGTAATTGCAAATTCAGGCTCCGATACTGCAGTTGATTAAGCTAGGGCGGACTCTTGCAGCTGCACACATTCTGCGAAAGCATACTACTCTGCCTGTGCATTACAACTTACTGGATAGGAGCCTAAGTCACCATTACATGGTAAGAATATTGAAACTAAGGGCAAGTCTACACTACAGAGCTACATCAGCACAACTGCAGCGTGTCTGGTGAAGACGTGCTATGCCGATGAGGGAGTGCTTTCCTGTTGGCATAATTACTCCACCTCTGCAAGAAGCAGAAGCTATGTTGGCAGGAGAGCATCTCCCACTGACATAGTGCCGGTGTGAACAGCACCAAACTTGCGTCACTCAGGGGAGGGGTGCTTTTTCACTCCCCTGAGTGACGTAAGTTATATTGACTTAGGCTGTAGTGTAGACCTGCCCTAGTATTACTGAACAATAACAAAATATTTGTTACAGGCTGAAAATATCCAAAGTGGTTGTGGTTGGAGACCTCTATGTTGGGAAAACCAGCCTTATCAACAGGTACAGTATATCTCAGCAGATTGGGTTTTCTGTTTAAATGTATACCAATTTCTCTGCATGCTGGACTCTCTTCCTTTACCATCTATGTTTTCAGGATGATTGCCTCATTGTAGTAAGGACTTTCAGTTTTCTATTAAATCAGTAATAAAAATATTAAGTATTTCTGTTCACCCCTCTGCTGATCACAGTGCCCCACATTGTCTGTCTAAAGATGGTTTTGGGGCATTAAACTGAAGGAAAACCAGAAAACCTACAATTATAGGCACTAAAATTCACTACAGCATCATAGAAAATCCCTGTTAGCACCTTGATCAGTCCTTTTTGGCCGTGCAGGATTATTCCCTCTATGGTATATTCTCAGATATTTTGACCAGTCTCGTTTTAAATGATCCCAAGATATGGGGCTTTCAACATTTCCTTTGGAAGGCTGGAGTGGCCCTCAGATTCTCAGTCTTGTTTGGAGAATTGTTCCTTAAAACATTTTAAAAAGATCTTGCCTATTCACTGACCCCAATAGAAGCAGCTCAGGCCACTTCTACTTCTGCAGGAGATTGTTGGGAGCCCAGAGATTCCTCTCACACCTTTGTGTATAAAATGAGTCAGTTAAGCATGAGGACCCTGAAGCATTAATTTCACTGATACTTCCCAGAATCCTCAGGCCAGTTCTACACTTCATGGTGTGATGACAGTATCAGGATATGGAATTTAAATAGCTTGTTATCACGATAGCTTCCTTACTATCCTCACAATTTCAGTCAGTTCCTAAATATTGGTAAGAAGTAGATTCTGGATGGTTTCTCATCCTTTTGGATAATTCATTTTTCTCTACTTAATGTGATCCATATTCATCTATATTTGCCACCTATCAGATATCCCTTATAAATGAAGTATTCTGTGGTTTTAATTTCTTTGATAGTCAAGAAATAGTTTATTCTGATTTTCTCCAGTCCTGGGGGTCTGTTAGGGTATGTCTGCATTACAATTGGGAGCACGCATCCCAGCACAGATAGACAGACTCCCTGAGAGTGGGGCTTGAGCTAGCATGCTAAAAATAGCAGTGTGGACATTGCGGCTTGGGAGGCAACACGCTTCTCAAGTCCACCTAACCGTCTGGATCTGAGCTTGGGTAGCTAGCCCAAGTCTCTGCTGGGACCACGACATCCACACTACTATTCTTAGCATGCTAGCTCAAGGCCTGTTAGTACAAGTGTGTCTACCCGGGCTGGGAGGCTCGCTCTCCGCTTCAGTGTAGACAGTCCCTTAGAGAAGCCCACTATAGTTTTCCCTTTATGTTTCATTTACTTCATCCTTACTCAGAGTAACTACTCTCTTCATTATCAATTTGTTTCTCATTGATTTGGTAAATATTTTTGAAATACAATGTGACTGAACTTCTGCTCCACAGTTATTTAACTCCTCCCTATATAACACACCTTGCACAATACTGAGGCATGATATAAAATTTAAAAAACACCATGCTATTAGCTTTCTCCTAATACCTTTTTCATTGCAGGTTTTGTAAAGATATTTTTGATCGAGACTACAAGGCAACCATTGGAGTAGATTTTGAAATTGAGCGGTTTGAAATAGCTGGAGTGCCATATAATCTCCAGATGTAAGTTGGAACCTTATAGTACCAGCTGTTTTCTTTCTTACATGCCTACAGTTTGAACAGAACTTGAATTGCTACAGGCTTTAATGGTATCAAAACCTCTGGTTTATATTCCATACAACATAGTGCAGTGTGAGAAACACCTGCTGTCCTTGGGCACTGAAGAATTTCAGGATTTTAGTATAAACCTCAAACTGTTGGGTTCCTTGTCTTTGAAAGCTTTATAATTGTACCACCCACACTCTCCTTAGATACCACGTCTGATTTTTTTAGTTGGGTTCTTTCTTTTTACTCAGTCTTCCTGTAAGATTGAATTAAGCCCTGAGCAGCAAATTATATCCTTGGCTACATCTATTCCACTCTGTTGCCTTCAGTGGGAGTACATGGATGTAAATGAATACAGAATTTGGTTTTATGAGATTCAGGCTTTGCTCCTGTACCCATTGAAGTCAGTGGCAAAGCTCTCAGTGGCGTAGGATCAAGCACTAAGGCCCAGATCCACAAACCGCAGACTTAAGTGCTTAAAGTTCATCTTCAGATGCCAGTTTTGGTTCCACTGTGATCCACAAAACTCTTTCCAAATCCTGTAGATGCCTAAACTCACTTGGCTCTAAAGTTTTCTGGGTGAAAGCTCCCTCAGCACCTAAGTTTCTGCCTCTGGGCATGCACACTTCTACCTCATTCTAAGTATCTGGATGCCTATCTCCTGTCTAAACCCCAGATTAATCTACAAACCGGGGGAAGATAGGTGTTTGTCTGCCTAAATCATGTGCAGGGCCCAATCCGCTAGGCTTGGTCAGAGACCATCTACTGTATTGGGTCCCATTCAGAATTTTGCTGGAGGAGGAAGTAGTGCTTTCCACCTTATAATTGTTAGCCCAATGGTTAGTACACGTGCCTGGGACTCTGCTGGAGTGCGAGAAAGGATTTGAATGGCGCGTGGGGGAGTCTCCCACCTCTCAGGAGAGTGCTCTAGCCTGAGCTTTGAGGCTACTTCAGTCTCTCCTGCTGAAGCTGTTCTAGTTTGGATAAATAATTAAAGAGTAATTGGAGGAGGGGGATTGAAGCCTGAGTCTCCCACCTCCTTCAGTTGTTGCCTTAATCACTGGGCTACAGAACCAATCTCTCTGTCTCTTCCGCCAGTGACTTTTTCACTATGGATAGATAGACTAAGGTGCCACAAGTACTCCTTTTCTTTTTGCGAATACAGACTAACACGGCTGTTCCTCTGAAACTAGACTTAAATAGTCACTGAGTCAGAGAGAGAACAGGGAGTTTAGGCGTCTAACTCAGGCTTTGTGGCTCATAATGGTGTTACTGTGATTTTCTGCACACCTAAAAGTTAGATGCTGTGATGCACAGCATTGCAACACCTAAGACCCTTTGTGGATCTGGGCCTAAATGGCTTCCCCAAGGCTAAATCATGTCTGTTCTGAGAATAGCAAATACAGGGTTAAAATGCCTTCATTAAAATAATGGTGCTTTACATTTTACAGGATGTCTAACAGTGCTTAATGGGTAACATATTCCAGATGGTAAGCTTCTCTGGTATCACATTCTTCTCCAACTTGTACCAGTCTGTTGCTTCATTAGTGTGTTTGCTCAGGTTGCACTGGGTTTGATTGACCTGAAATTTCTCTTTTCCTTCTGCACAGATGGGACACAGCAGGTCAGGAAAAGTTCAAGTGCATTGCATCTGCTTACTACAGAGGAGCAGAGGGTGAGTAAGTCAGAAAGCACTTCACAGTCAGGATCAAATGAACTGTGCTCTCACTGTATGCTTCAGGAACTGAATTGAATCCGTAAGATTTCTAATCCACTGTCTCATTTAATCATTTTTTCTGTGCTGTTTTTATTGCAGTTATTATAACAGTGTTTGATCTGGCTGATATCCAGACTTTGGATCACACGAAGTAAGTTCCTGGCCAAGTCTTTGAGATTTTAGTAAAAGGTCTCCAGCATAAAACTGAACTGGGAATTAAAATTCACTGGGCCTGATTTTATGTGTAGGTATCTTACTAAGCCAGAAAAATGAAGGGTGGATTTAGCCAATGTGTCTGAATAATTTAGTGTCTCAAATGTTACTCATTTCCTAGGCTTTCTACTTACCAACTAGCTTTTTCTTACTCCAGTACTGTCTGTAGTGATGATTCTGATAGAAAAGATTCTGGTACTTAGATTTAAAGCAGAATGTGGGCTGTAAAGGAGGGAATGGGATACTGGAGAGACTACCTTGCACAGATCAGTCATAAGTACTGCAGTGTCTGCAGCGTGTACAAATATCATTTTATTAAATAGTGTCTCTGCTTGGTAGAAGAAGGTTGAAGTCTGTGGGCCTAATTTTTCTTTCTCTTACATTGATAACTCAAAGATCACTCCACCTAAGTCAATGGCATTTAAAACAGGTTTAAAACTGGTGCGAGATAAGAATCAGGCACAGCTTCAGAGTGATCTCTTCCATTGGATTCTTGCCCCAGTGGGAGTTTCTCTCGCTTTCCTTCACTCTCTTTCTTCTTCTCTACTTCATCATTCATCTTTTTCATTCTATCTCTGCTTCTCACTCTCTCTTCCTGTTCTTGCATCTTATTCCTTATCTCTGTGCAGTGTCACCATTACTTTGGCTACATCCCTTGCTGTGGGTGAATAGTGTGGCACTTTTGCATTCCTTCTCTAGGGGCTCTGATCACTGTTGGACTTACATTCTAAAGTGGGCAAGGTTGGCTGAAACAAGAACTACTTTCACAGGATGGTAAGCGTGTATCCAGAGGAGCTTTCAAGCCATTTATTCTCTAGTGGGAAAGGCACATGACACATCGGCATCTTCCTCTTCTCTCATTCTCTTTGTTGTTGGTTTCTTTGTCTCTTTCCCTTTCCCCCATATACCTCTATTTCTTTCACTCCTCTTTGCCCTCTTTCTTCCTCTCTCATTACATCTTACTCCTCCCGTTCTGTGTTTCAGGCAGTGGCTAGAGGATGCATTGAGGGAGAATGAGCCAGGGTCCAGCTTCATCTTTCTGGTTGGAACAAAGAAAGATTTAGTGGTAAGTAGTACAAAAGCGGTTCATAAAATATGTCTCTCCTAACCCACTCCAGCGAATTTCCATTTGAAGTTAAGTCCAGGTACTGAGTCACCACAATCTGTGGTAGCTGCTGCAAAGATCTTGAGAAACAAACTGTATTAACTCCAAAGCAAAGAGGGGTCATGTAGACCTGGAGCAGTAAGCCTCACAGAATGGAAGAGAGTAAACATTGTCTAGAGTGCTGGAGGTCCCCAAATCACTCCCTGTTCTGATGGAGGCACAGCTTTACCAAACACACCTGAAATCACACACAGCAAAGTTTTAAGACCTGAGAAGATTCAGTGCCATGGTAACACCCCTAAAGACTGCTATGTAGACAACGGATTTAAAAGCTCAGTTATGTCCCCACCCCCTGCTTCTTTGAGGGGGTCATTTGCAAAAGGAGGAGGGAGCAGTTGGCCTCTTCAGACTTGAGTTTATCTCCTTCATTAGCCACCACCCTGTCAAAATTCAAAGATTCAAAAGTAAACACCCTTTTCCTGCTGTTTAGCTATATTTCCTTTCAGTTGCTGCCTGCAATGCTATTCATATCCCTAAAGCTCCTTAGCCCACTTATTTTCCATCAGTTCCTTGGCTGTCTGAAGGAGCGCTAATGCACCGCAGAAGGCTTTGCTCCTGTCAGTTACAACATGAGAAGCTCTTAGAATCTTCTGGCGTGTATCAGGGCAGATAGGGTAGGTAGCAGAAAAAGTTAAACAGGTTTGAGAGGTCAGGGGACACGAGCTGGGCTCAGGTGGAACTGGAAGTAAGAAGAAATTCTGTTTGGAGGCATGTAGGACTTTGTCTTGTGTGGCAGGAGAATATTGGATTAAAACTGGAAAGTTGTCAGCAGGTACAATAGGCTGATTATTAGACTCCCCACCTATTAATACTCTTGAGGTGCTTGCTGATCATCTGTCACTCTCCCAGATGCACTTTGGATAATTGTCAGCCAGTGAATAGTGGCTGAAGCAGTGAGAAGCTCTTAATACATGTAGCCAGTGGCAATGGGAAACTGACTTGGGTCTTGATCCCGCTGCTGCTTATGCAAATACTTAACTTTAGACATTTGAGTAGTTCCATTGACTTTACTGGGGTTACTCACATGTTTAAATTAAGCACTTTGCAGGACTGGGCTTTGGGATTATACAATACTAGTCAATTTCTATCTGTAGCCCGTTGACCATAGAGAGCAAATTAAGAGAGGAAAAAGTCTTTTAAAATGAAAATAAAGGTACAAGAAATTAAAAATAAATAAAATAAAAATAGAAGGGAAAGAAAAAGAAGGCAATAACAGAAAAGCAGATTAAGAGGGGAAAAAAGACTAGCAAGAGAGCAAAAAAAGTCAGGGCGGGGGAGAAAACAGTAAAAACAAAAGGGTTAGAAAGAGGAATGAAATTAGGAGAGCAACATGAGACAGATGGAGGAGGAAGAGAAAGGAGAAAGGACCTTCACAATTACTAATGCCCTATTGTTGGTGGCTCCTGTAATTTTCTGCTTAGAATTATTTAGAGACCATCTTTTCTGTTCTGTGTTTGTATAGCATCTAACACAATGGGGTCCTGGTCCTTGAGTAGGGCTCCTCATTGCTATGATAATAATAATAACCACCTGAAGGTAGCATCTGATAGCTCTCTAGACTACCATATTGTTAATGGGTTCACTTCTGCTATCTGATGCTTCACTGCTGTGGAATACAGAGGGAGAATTATATTTAAAAAGAAGTCCTATGTGATTTCCCCTGTCAAATATCTATCTAGCTGTTTTCTTTCACTAGTTCTGTCTTGATATATGGGACATCCTGGTGTACAAGCTCTAAGGCAAGGCCAGGAAAAGAAAGGACTGACCCCTGTGAAAGCTGAAAGCCTCACAATGTAGGGACTGGTAGCATCTTTGTGTTACTGTTACCCCAGATATATTCTGGGAGTATTGTGCCTGCTTTATGTTACAGACAAAGTGATTCCCTGCTGTTTTTCTTAGTCAGGTGCCGCATGTGAGCGGACAGAACTGGATGCCATTCGCTTTGCCAATGAGATGAAGGCTGAATACTGGTCTGTCTCAGCAAAAACAGGTTAGTCACTGCATTGGAGACTGGTTGAGTGTGGCCAGTGCCATTTGCTGGGAAAGAGGGTATCAAGTTCCCCTGATTATGTGCACACCAGTTGGTCATGTGCACACGAGGCTATATATATGTTTGAGGATGTGTGTTTCGAAATGGTTCTGTATGGCTGTATGTATGTGCATTTGTACAGTCATGGTTGCAGAAATGTGCATTGTATTTCTATGCATTGTCTAGGTTTATTCATAAATGATGGTGCACAAGTGCTTGAGTGTGTGTGTATCAGTGCTCAAATTGGGGCCATAGGAAGCTATATTGCACCACAACTTTCCTCTACTGCTGCTCATCAAAAATGTATTTGTATGTGTGGTTGAAGGAGGGAAATGAGAAAGCGTCACCATGGGGTGGTGGGGATCCAGAGTATACTGTCACTTTGTGGGGAGCACTTTTAGGGTGGCACACTATCACTTTTCTCTCCAGTTTGACCCGTGGTTTGTGTTCATATTTGTATATTTGATCTTGCTTAGCTGTGGGTTTGTAAAACATGGTGTTTCTCTCCTGTTTCCCAGGGGAAAATGTAAAGGAGTTTTTTTCTCGAGTTGCTGCTTTGGCCTTTGAACAGTCTATGCTGAAGGAGCTGGAGAAGAGCAATGGTCGCATGGTCCAGATCGGGGCAGGAAACCTCATCAGTACGTTCAACTTCACTTTCCCTGTACACTTCAATCACTTAAAAGTTTGGGGAAGTGCGGATGTTTCTTGAGGGCCAAATTCTGCCTCATTTATACCAGCGCAACCTCTGACCTAATTTTTTGTCTTTCTTGGTTCTTATGTGTGGTTGCACAAGTGTTACTGAAGGCTGAATCTGGTCTCTGTCATCTTTATTACAGGAAGGTGATTCTACGTGGATTAATTATGGTTTCCTTTGGTTTCCTCATTACAGAAATAGAAGGAAATTCACTTGAGACTCCAGAAAGCAACAGCCAAGCCAGCCTGAACTGCTGCTAGCTGCCAGTCATTTCTGCAAGCATCACACCTCCATCTGCATGTGCGTACACCTGCATGGCGCACCTGCAGCAGGGAAAGCTCTCAAGCAGTTTCCAGTTGAGAGATTGAAAGTCAGTTTATCTCAGGAAAGAATGGAGGAGCTGAAAATGATTCAAGCAACTTGCCTTCAGACAGATGATCTCTCTTCTACCCCTTGCTTTGTGCTCACCTTGTGCAGGCAGCACAATGGTACATAAACCTTCCCTGTGCAAGGGGGAGACTGCTTGTGTGATGGCAAGCTGCCTTTACTTAAGGGGATGGACTCAACCCAACTTTTCCTCCTGCTACCAGGAGGACCTGTAAACAATGTTCTGTACTTGTTTTGTGTTCTTGGTAGCTACCAGAACTCTAGAATCTTGGACAGTGAAGTCCTGGCCCCATTCTTGTGGGAGCAGAAAACCCATGGCAGTGCTGATTATTGTGGTGCATTTGATCTATTTTATCTTTTAAACACAAAATCCTTGTACAAAATTATGCTGACTTGCACTTAAGCATACCTAGTTTACCATGATAGTACTGAGAGAAATATTCCTCTTGTATCTGGGGTCAGGATATCTGGTTTCAGGATATCTGTCGATCCTTTGTAATTTTTAAGTCTATACATATTCTTCTTCGAATGGATGCAGACCAGAATTCCACTCAGGTGTGTGTGTGTGATCAGTGTGCTGGAGTAGTACTCATCAGAGCGACAGACATGCCCTGAGCCTCCTCATGGCTCCTCCCAAGGCTATATGAGGCTGATGCCACCCTGACCCCCCTCAGTCCCTTCTTATCACTCATGGCCTGAGTCGCAACTTCCCATGTAGTTCTCCCCTCATGCTTTTTTTTCTGCTACATAGTTAGCTCTTAGCTATTTACAGATTTAATGAAGTTATCAGTTAGCACCCTTTAGATAGGTTTTTCTTTACATTTTTTATTTCTAGAATGGCATGGAGCACTCTCTGGGCTTCAAGCACTGCCCTTCACGTGGGGCATCTCTTCCTAATAATGACCCCCCCCACACACACACACATAGGCCTTGTCTACATTAGGGGGGGTTAAGTTGACGTAAGTTACGCATCTTAAGTTATGTAACTTACATATATTAAGTCGATGTAGTTTTCAGCAGAGCTTCTGCCTCTCGTTGAGGTGGAGCACTGAAGTCGACAGGAGAGCACTCTCCCGTCCACTTATTGTGTCTTCACCAGACCCACTAAATCGATGCCACTGCATCAATCGCAGCAGCACCAATTTAGCCCCTAGTGAAGACAAGCCCTATGTGTGTTGTGTCTTGGTGAAGGACATATCAAGGAGAAGTGTAGCATTTGCCACTCCTTCAAGAAACACACTCAGATTTCCAGTATCTGCACCTTATGCAGCATCTCCTAGCATAGGCCATGAGGTCTGCCTCTGCATTTGTGCCCTGCCAGATTGCGCTGTATGCAGTCAGCCACTACTATGGTAAAGACTTCAGACAGGCTCTTGGGCTTGGACTCCTTTCCAAGGAGAAGGAGAGGTCAGTCTTTCTCTCTCTGGGTTCCTTGCACACAGACCCATAAGACTAATAAGAGCCACTCGAGCTCCAAGAGAGGCTCCTCTTCCACCGCAAATAGGGGATTGGTGTAACACAGAGTTTCACAGGGCACCTAGAGTAGGGCAGGGCTGTAAGCCCATGTTTCCCCAGTAGCTAGGCGAGCAACTCCTGGTACCATACCATCGACTCTGGATCTGTCCTCTCAGCAGCCATCAAGTCTGGTACTGGTGGATGCTGTCTCAGCACCACCTATTTCAATCCTTACAACTTCACAGACACTTGGGGTGGTGAATGACCTGCTCTGCCTATCTATCCCTGGTTTGCCATTGATCCAGGAGTCCGTGGGGCTGGTATTACCTCTGGCTGTTCTGGACCATCAACCTCTTTGGCACTGGAGCAGAGAATGCTGTCAGCACCAGCACTGGTACTGGTTAAGGGGACAGTCTAAGACAGTCTCATCTGCACCATCTGGTGCCTGGGTGTCCTCTACATCAGCTCTTGGATGTTCTTTAGTGTTGGCACTGACTGCAACCTCAGTTTTGGGTTTGGGTGTAGACATCAGGCTACGCATCACCTCCTCTGGAGCCTGTTTTGGTACTGGACTTAGAAACAAGACCTTCTATGTCCTGAGATAAATTTATGGTACTGACTGCAGTATCACCACTGGTACCAAACTTACCTCCCCCTGCTGGGAGTTGGACAGATTGGGCCATCCAATAGCCCCACTTGGTTGGGCACTGGTATGCTGACTGATTATTCAGAAGGCCTATCTAGGTCAGACTTGTCTAGCTCCTCTCCATCCCCACCAAGGCATGCAAAGTCTAGTAAACCATCTAGGTCACCTTAAGAGGGGGACCCTTGGAACTGGAATCAGTACCATTCCAATAACAAGGAGAGGCCAGTGTGGCCTGAGACATTTTGACCTCCAATGACCTGTTGGATTATATGTGTCAGGGGTCGCACATCTCAAACCCTGGTCTACAGGACTCTTAGGAACCAGGAAGTTCTGACCTGCCACCCAGTGACCTGCTAACAGTTGCCAGAACCAGAAGCTGAATTCCAACAGAGAACTCCAGTCCTGGGATCTGATAGGTGGAACAATGGGAGTCCTGATTTTTTTCTCTGCTTGTGTTTAAACAAAACACAGGAAGAGGAAGTTGTCCATGCAGTTGGGTTTTCCCTGCTTAGGACTGCTTCGCTTGTGCTACCTGCTCCTACTGCCTGACTCTGATCTCCTGGTAACCTGACCCTGCCTGCCTCCTTAACTCGCTCTCCAACCACTAGGTCAGACTGCACACATCCCACTTGTGACAATATAGAACGCTTGGATGGCTCCTAGATTCTCCAGATCTTGATCTTCAGCCTGTTTTAGGAGAAAGTCCCTGGAACCATCCACATCAGGGCCTTGTGCACTGGAAGAGCAACTAGAAGCTCTCCCCTCTGAACAACCAGCTCAATAAGAAGAGCCATGTTGGAGGAACGAGCTCTGTCTCAGGAGGCTACTTCAGCTCTGGTCAATTTATCCTCTCCCTCCCCAGGCTCACTCTTGCCAGTCCCAGAGCATTTTTAATCCTGTCAGGATGTGCTTAGAAGAATGGCCTCTGCGCTTGGTATATATTCCAAGTTATTTACAGGAGAATACCTACAAGCTATTGGACATTCTTCAAGCTGCAATCTCAAGAAGGGTAGCCCTCCCAGTAAATGAGGCACTTTTAGAGCCAGCGAAAGTGTTATGGAATACACCTGCTTTGCTGGCTTCCACAGCCAAATGCACTGACAGATGCGACAGTGTGCTTGCCCAGGGGTTCAAGTGTCTTTTACTCTCATCTGTCTCCAAATTCCCTGGTAGTTTTGGCTGCCAATGAGAAGTCAAGGCAAGAAAGGTTCAAGTCAGCACCCAAAGAAAGAGAACTGAAAAGAATGATGGCCTGGGGCAGAAAGATTTATTCTAAGTTATCTCTCCAAATGCAAATAGCTAATCGGCAGGTGCTGTTACCTAAGTATGATTTTCGTACCTGGGAGCCTTATCAAAATTTACAGATAAACTCTCCGAGGACTCCAAGGAAGAGTTCAAAGCCTTTTTGGCAGAGGGCCATCTGGTCACAAAGACATCTCTTCAGTCTGCCTTGGATGTTGCAGATGGTTCCTCAAAGACTGTGGCCTCGGCAATGTTGATAATGTGAAGAGTTTCGTGACTATATAACTCTGGGATAGCCTGCAACATACAACAGTATAGAAGACCTTCCCTTTGGGCATTTTCTATTTTCAGATAAAATTGGTGAAATATTGCACTCATTTTAAAAGACTTCTAAGCAACCCTCTGCTTCTTAAGAGTTTATGTCCCAGTGTCCAAGAAAAGACGTACACAACTCCCAGCATACCCAGTACTCCTAGCAGTACTATAGAAATCCTTTCTACGCATCTAGGCAAGATGACATGCTGAAAAGTACGCATAGACCTCAGAGAAGAAGGTCCACTAGCTCAGACTCCAACCTGCAAGCCCATTCTCAGACATCTGCAAGCAAAATCTGCCTTTTCACTTTTCCAATGAGGACAGCAACCTAATTATTCACAATCCACACACTATTGTCTCTCCATTTGGGAGCAAACTATCTTGCTTTCTGGATAATGACAGACAAGTGGGTACTAAGTACCTTGAGACTGGGATAGTCAATCCAATTCCTTTCCATTCCCCCTTCCCCATCCGTTTTCAGGGACCCAACTCACAAGCCTCTGCTCCTTCAAAAGGTCCAGATACTGCTTGCTGTAAGGGCTGTGGAAGAAATTCCTATACAGTTTCAAGGAAAGGAGTTTTATTTAGCCATTTTCTAATTCCCAAGTCCAAGTGTTGTTTAAGGCCCATTTTGAACTTTTACAGTCTCAACAAGTTCACTAAATACATGAGATTCTACATGGTTTCCCTGACATCTATCCTCCCCCTCAGGATTGGAACAATTTGTTTGCTGCCCTCAATCTTTGCAGTGCTTGCTTCCACATCACAGTGATACGAAGTCATAGGAAGTTTCTCAGATTTATGGTAGTGAGGAGACACTATCAATACACAGTTCTTCCCTTTGGCCTATTGTCAGCTCCTCATGTGTTTATGAAATGCATAGAAGAAGTGTCAGCATTCTTGAGAAGGATTGGGATACATATCTTCCCTTACTAGATGATTGCCTCATCCAGGGCATATCACTTTGTGAAGTCCTCAGTCAGCTCCAATTCATTCTCCATCTCTTTGACTGGCTAGGGCTCATGCAGAACAAAGAGAAGTCCACATTAGTGCCCATGAAGAGGCTGACATTCATTGGGGCTTTGCTTGACTCTATGGTAGCGAGGGCCTTTTTTCCTTGAGAGGTTTCTGACCATTTACAATCTTTGTGTGTCCCTCAGGTCTCACCTGTCCAGTATGGCCAGAGCATGTCACACATTGGTACGTCACATGGCTCCATGTATGTACGTGACCATGCATTCCAGACTGCATTTTCATCCTTTACATACAAACACGGCTAAAGTTGATTTACCAACCAAGCAGGCATCTGGAAAAGTTAGTCCAAGTTTCTCTTGTAGTCTTACACTCTGTGGAGTAGTGAATGGACCAGGACATTGTATGTGTGGGGAATCCCTTTTCTTGTCCCCTTCCAACTAGGACAATTATAATTGACACTTCTACATTAGGCTGGGATGCTCACCTGGGTGGTTCATGGGGACCCAAGGGATATGGACAAAACCCCAGGAAGAGAGGCTTCATCACGTTCCAGGAGAGGTTACGTAACAGAAGGAAACAATCACCTAGATCCACCTATTTAGCTAAGTGGAAGTGTTCTTCACTTTTGACTTCTGCTCAAGGGATTCAGTCAATAAGGGTGAGTGTCCAGGACAAATGTTCTGGCCCTTTCTTAAGTTCAGTGAAGGTTCACCTGGCAGCTATTTCTGCCACTCAGGGGAGAATAGTGTTTTCCAATCCTATGGCTACAAAGTTTCTCAAGTAAATGACTTGTCTGTTTCCACCTGTAAAAGCATCAGTTCACCTGAACACAATGTTAGCCACTCTCATGGGAAGAATTTGGCTATTTGCTCCTGGGCACATTTGTCCTGCAAGATGGCCTTCCTTATCGCTATCACATCTGTGAGGAGAGCTGGCAAGCTGCAAGTATTAGTGGTAGGCCCTCCGTACACTCACTTTTTAAGGACAAAATGGCTCACCCAAAGTTTTTAACTAAAGTAGTGTCAACATTCCACCTTAATAAGACGCTATATCTAAGTCCTGTGTTCTTTCCAAACCTGCATGTCAGTTGGGAAGAAAGGTGTTTTACATACCTTGGATGTAAGATGGCCATTGGCCTTTTTCATAGACAGAGGTAATTGTTTAGATGTTCTCCTTGACATTTTGTTTCTTACGAGGATAGGATGAAGGGCCAAGTGGTCTTGACCCAGACAGTCTGTAGATGGATCACTGCTATTACCACTGTTTATGATATGGCTAGTATTCCACCTCCTTAACGTCTCTTTGTCCAACTCAAAGCTTAAGTGATGTCTGTAGCTTCTCTCAATGATATACCTTTTCTGGACACTCAGAAGGCTGCTGCCTGGTCCTACATATATATGTGCATGCATACATACATTCATTCATACATACATACATACATACATTCACTTGTCACTATGCGATTGCAAGAGCTTCAAGGGAAGATGCAAACTTTGGCAAGGTCACTGTTCAAATAGAGTTCAAGCCCTGCCATCTATGATACTGCTTGTGAGTCACCTGAAGGGAATACACATCTGCATCCACTCGAATAAGAAAGAACAGTTATTTACCTGTATTATAACTGTTTGTTCTTAGAGATGTGGGTACAGATGTGTATTCCATGACCAACCTGTCATCTCCTCTGCATCAGAATTTTAGGCCACTGGCTGGTACAAAGGAGCTGAGGTAGATGGGGACAGCATCACCCTTATATAGCCTCAGGTGGGGTCATAAGGAGGCGCAGGGAATGTGCATCACTTCAACAGGTATTGCTGCGGAAAACATATCTGGCTCCAGCATGCTGAGCGCGCACACGTACCCACCCTCACCCCCGAATTAACTACATTTCTGCATCCACATCTCTAAGAACAACAGTTACAAGTAAGTAATTGTTCTTTTCCTGTTTAATGAGTTAGGGTCTGAGACAGTTTTTACATTTTGCTTTTATAATTTTTTTAAAAGCATATCAAGTCTGCTGAAAGAAGACCTTAATCCTGCTCCCCTTTACTTCTCTGTAGAATGGGTGGCAGATCTTTCCTCCTGCCATCAGAATCTGGTCCTATGGATACAACTTCAGGGTAAAAATCAAAAAGGGAGATTCCATTGAATGGAGAAAGCTGTGAAATTATGTAATAGGTATAGTAAAGGAGAACATATAAACACTGATAGGAAAGGAAGTTTATGAGGTTGTAGCAAAATTCTGATAATGATTTTTTTATTGATCTAGTGTCACTGTGTTTCTGCCTTTGACATTTCAGGTGGGCAAAACCAGAACCCAGGATCCAAATATTCCAAAACTTTGTGGAAGTCCAGATCTGAAATTTCTAGTTTAATTCCATCTCTGCTTAACATTCCAAAGGCTTGATTCTTCTCGGCCTTATGCTTTATATAAGCATGTGCATCTGTGTAAAATAGTACCAGCTCTTTATATATAACCAGAATATTATAATTTTTCACTCTTTGTGCATGTGTGAATGGCAACACAAAGTGCAAGGCACAGGAGAATCCGATTCCATGTATTCTGTAATTGCAAGAGGAAGTGGGTATACCCTTTCCCCTCCACTTGTTTTTCATAGATCCCGTCTACGCTACAAGTCTAACCAGTCACAGCTATTATAAGTGACATGTTCTAATGTCTCTTTTTGTTCATAATATAGATAGGACATGGTTTTTTGAAGCATGTTACAGCCGAAGTAATGAACTTCGTCACCCCTCTCCATGCTAGACAACTGTTAGCTGGTAAGGTTAGATGCTATAGTGTGGCTGGGCATATAATTGGTTTGACTACCCTTGCTGGAAAAAGTGTTCCAGTCCCTTGATGCTAGGAGCAGCTTGCTTCATAGCTGAATTGAAGCAACAGTGAAAAGGAAGGATTTTTGTCCTTATTTTCATATTACTTTTACCAAAATGGTGTGTGTTTATGTGTACTTGCACTCTTTCTACATAGAAAGAGAGAGTGAGAATTTTCCAATACAGAAACCCTAACGTGCTTGCCATGTGCAGGTCTCTTAACTGAGTGGCTGTTGCAGAACGAGCACTCTCTACATGATTGCCACATCCTGGTGAGCTTGTCAGGTCATGCACTTTCCCTGGTTTCCTCTGTTATTCCAAGAGTTAAATACCTTTCTGCCCTACCCCTATAAGTTTGATTCTTTAGGAGCTAGGATGATCATGTGTTAAAACAAGACCCATGTAACATGGAACAGATTGTATGAAAATCAGAGGCATTGGGAAATAGAGTAAAGCAACTCTGTGCTGGAGAGTTTTCTGCAGTGTGGGCAGCCCCGACTTGGTGCCGTAGGGACTCCTGTTTAAACCTTGTTAGTTGTCCCTGCTGATTTAAATGGCACAGTATTGTCAGAAATAACTGTATTACATACCTGCTGGATCAGTATTTGTGAGACCGCTTTTACCATGCATGATTATTGTTTATAAATCTCTGATCAGATTGGTTTTGCTTATTGAACTTCAGCATATACAGCAAAAGTACAAGGCAAACATCAAGAAGTAACACCCAAGAGTATGTTGAAAGGAACTAGCTGATATCTATGGTCATACATTGACATAAAGAAATGGACTTAAACTTCATATAGAAAACACTACATTATTCTTACACTCTTCTTTACTGGAACAAATTTTAGAGAGGAAGAAGGAATTTAAACAAGGCAATCTCTCACTGATTTGTAACATTCAGCCTCAGGTACCTAATAGGCAGTATTCCTCCAAACATAAAAGATGTATTGTAAAACTTTCACCTACACGAAACCAGGAAAACTCAGAGCCATAAAAAACTACTATAAACATTCTGAGTCAATTAACGAATCCCCCTCAAGAATCAAACCAAGGCATCAGTCCACCATTCCAGAAATCTTGTTCACCAATAATTTGATGTCCACAAAGCCCTAGGGCCAATGGAATCACTCTGAATTTACACCAGCATAAGTGAGAGCAGAATGTTTCCCATAATGTACAGTATACTCATAGTACAATGGTTTGGACGGAAAGAAAGCAGAAGACCCTAGGACAGTTATTAATTATTAACCCCATCATGTAGTCACTACACATGCATCAGTAAACAGGGTGCTGAATGTAACAATCTAATTGGAGCCCAATGCCTCAAAACATACCAAGGAAAATAACAGAAAGACCTTAATAATATAAAAAATAATCAGACACAATGGGCCTGATTCTCAGTTATTCCATTCCTGCATTTAGATAGGGATGGGCAGAAAGTGAGGAGAAATATGGCTTAAAGCTGCCTTTGTATTTCCCATCTTCTGTTTTGCTCACAGCGTAAATTAGAACAGTCTCATGGAATTGTATGTATGCAACTTCTCTTAGCAACTTCTCTCTTCCTTTCCTCTTCAGACAAGGCTGTCATTAGCAACCATGCGAGTCCTGTTGGCACAGAAAATGAGTGTACTATTTGGTGGAGGAGGTGAATATGTGTGCCTGTGTAGAGTTATCGATCCAAATATGTAATGTTTTGACCTTATGATATTCTGTGTAGTTGTTTATCTCTCAAAACTGTTTCATGAGGATGACGAATAGATGCTCCCTTAAACCATGCTCATTCCATTTAGTGGACAGCATATCTAACTTCTTTGTGATTACTGGGTTTGAATCACTACTGGATGGGTGAGTAGAAGGGGTGGCTTACTGTACTGGAGGATACCATATATGTATATAATATGATGTCTTTCAGCAGAAGCAACCAACATGCTTTTCAAGCATAAACGAATTGTCACGTAAGCCCCCTTTTGAGGTACTATATTGTAGGTGAGTAGTATTAGCGTCATTTTACAGAGGTGTAAACTGAAGCTCACAAGGATAACATGCCTGATTTTCAAACTAGGCCCCTATTTTTGTGGGCATAGTGCCTGAAATAATTTGGGCCCCAAAATTTTATATCCCGGGTTCAGTCATGCTTTGTCCTGGCAATTCACTGTTGGTGCTGAGGTGTGGGCATAACTTGTTATAGACAGAAAACTGCGCCTCTAAAAATGGTTCTAAAATCAGGCCTTAAGTGACTTGCCCACAGTCACACAGTGAGTCAGTGACAAAGCTGGGAAGAAGAATATTTTTTAAATTGCCCTGCAAGTGTTGCTTTTATTATTGTTAGACTTTTGTGCAAAAAACTCGTGGATACAGTCTCTTCAGCAATGCTATGATATTGCTCTGAAAATCAAATGGGCAGCTTTCCCACCTTATGTCTGTGAAGAGTACGGGTCCTTTAAAACCACACAGTACCTTGGCCTCAAGGGAAAGTGAGATTTGGTTCCAGAGGGCTCCTCCCTTCCCTTTTCTATGTATTGGAAATACTGAACTTGGAAGAAAACTGCCTTTTGTTTTCTAGTAACAGAAATGACACAGTAACTTGTTGTCACTACCATTTTATGTCTCTTCTACCTCCAAGAATCACACTTATAACAGCAGGACAATAAATAGCCTTCGGAAAGAGCCTAATCCATCCTAGTCAGTGATGGATGCTGTAAGGCCTGCCTTGAAAACCCCACTGAGATTTCCAGAGCACAGAGCCCGCTATTAATAATTGATTCTGTAAAAATGAAACTCTGATCATGTTACTATTGATGAATTGCTTAGACAGGGGAACACAAGGAAAGGGTTCCAACTCTCTGAAAAGTAAACACCACTGTTCATTTGTAATTTCTTGGGCAGATGTTCATGTCTCTGGCCTAGATTTTAGTTGTGTGTGTTTAATTCTAACAAAAAGCCTAGTTGCTTTGAAGAAGGCTTTTATATAGTGAGTAATATGTCAGGAAAGAGGACAACTGTATCAGTTCTGAATGCTGGCTGTCTGTAGCATTCCTAGATATATTAACTCTGGAACTAGCTGGTGAATCCCCCACAGTACATTTGGCAACAATGCCTGTCTCCTTTGGGGATTTTTGTTGCAGAGAGTGTGGAGAAGGGTGGTGATTGGGGGCCATCTGAAGACAAAGCTAAGGTGCTGGTGTAGTAGTTTTTCTCAGAACAAATACAAATGTGATGCTTCTTTTTTTCTCAATAAATTGAAGTTAACACGCTGATTGCCTGTTTTAAACAATGAGTATGTATGTCTTTTAGTCAAAGCAGTAGATGATTGATCACAGGCCATTTAGCAAACAGCCCTGTGGCAAGTGATATTTTTTGGGCTTTCAGGTTAAGGCCAGGAGCTGTTAGAAGAGCAATTGATTTTATTTTTTAGTATCAGTTTTGCCATGTGAGTGAATATATGAAGGTCAGTTTTCTTATTGCCAGTAGGTCATGTGATTCACATCTCTCCTGTTATTTCTCAGCACCTACAAGATTCAAGCCTGCTGTCCCTACAGGTGCATTGTTCCCAGTATAATCATCAGTTGTCTCTTGCATGAGAACTGCAGGGTCAGAATCTCACTGGCTTTTCTGCAGGCAGTGCTTCCTACTTTTTCTAGCTCTTTGTTTACCTTCTTCATCACCTGTTTCTCCCCTCATCTTCTTCATCCCATGTCTTATCAGTTTTCTCCTTCATTTCTCTTTAGCCCTACAAACAGGAGGGTTCTTCATGTCCCTCTCAGAACCCTGGATCCCTTCAGTTCTTACTCCCCTGCATCTCAGGGTCCTTGCTACACTAACCTCTCCTCCTGGTAGTTCATCAGGAGCAGTTGTTGGAGGCATTCCCTCAACCAGGGGCTGAGTGTGCTGCCCTCATGACACTCCCAGTCTCTGCAGGTCTGGGAGCTAGGGAACAAATATGGGACTTACTTCAAGTTTCCCAGAGGGGCTACAACCACATTATAGTCCTTTGCCTTCATGTCTTTCTCTTTTCTGGGGTAGGAAGTTAGGAAAGAGGCTTTAATCTTTGAGTGAGTGTGACATGGATCACTTGGTGAGTCACATGAGAGAGGTGCTACTGCTGTGTGTCAGATTTCTGCTAATTTGTGCTCTAGATTATAAATTGTTTGAGGGACTGACTTGAGTGCAGTTTTCCTCTTGTAATGTGCTGTATATCCATTCAGTGCTTTATTACTAATAACTGACATGCATCTGTTAGAATACATTGTTCTGGTCACCATTCTGTCTGCCCAACTACTCCCATGCCAGATATGGGAAAGATAAGGGAAAGCTGAGTGTAATAACATCCTGGACAGAACAGAAACCATGAGGATAGATGAGAGAAGAGGGAAAAATAATATCTCAGTCACCCTGCTCATTCCTTTAGTGGGTTGAGATCAGAGTCCATTTCAGATGTGCACCACAACCCAGTGCAGGCTATTCTCCTTTCTGTGCTACACGTTCATTCGAGATAGGTGAATAAGTCTATTCCCATTCTGTCTCCTCTCAGGCTTTGACTCATTCCAGGAAAAACAGAAATATTCATTGGCAGGATCCTGAGTGGGAGTCCTCTCTCTTTCCAGCTCTTGTGCAGAAGTCACACACTGTTAGAAAACATTTTTCATCGATCACAGGCAAATGATAGACTGCGTTTAAAAACTCCTTGAAAAGGACTCTGCTTTTAGGGTCCCAGTCTCACTTATATTAAATGCCCATTGATTTTTGTTTCAGGATCAGGCCCTTGGTGAGGAGAGAGTGCCGCGGCTGTGGGAGGGCTACAGTTTGTTAGGAAAAGTGACTGGCTTTTGCCCACAAGAGGGTGCCTCAGGGTCAGTTATGGTTGTTCTTGCTTGAAGTAGAGAAGCCATGTTGTAGTTTATTTTCTGTGCCACTAGAGGGGGCATGCTGGCTGCTCTAACTGCTAGTCATAGCCACAAAATCATAACAGTTTTGTACTTGAAAAGTAATATGCACTCAGACCACTGCTATATGCCTGCCATCATAACTTTGCCTTTACAAAGTTTTGTGTGTCTTTAGAATGGTACTATTCTGAGTAAATAAAGTGTTTGGGGGTTGCTCAGAAGTCCAGCAGCTACTTCTCATGCTCCTCCAAATTCCTGATGCAGACACAGAGACCGCAATAGGTATGGAGACCGAGTTGTTTAATTCCAATACTAATTAAAATTGAATGAGTCATACAGAAATTCAGCCTCTGGCTTCAATACTCATCAGAATTCTTGTGTTTTCTCACTCTGTTGGATACACAGGAGAGGGGAGAAAGGGCATGGAAACCTTACCTGCCTGATTCCCATGCACTTTAGGCTATCACACAACATCTTTGTGAGAAATAAAGAGCAAGGGAAACTGAGACTTGAGTAATCTTAAATCAGCGTGTGAATTCAAATGACAAGTTAGATCCAAACTGTATATTTAAACATATAAATTATTGATTAGTAATTTATAATGTTATGCATATGGCCTTATAAAAACTGCTGTTTACATAAATGTCATTATATGGATTTTTTTTCAAATGTAATGTCAATGAATCCGTAACCCTTGATCAATCTCTGTCCCATATGTGTTAGAAGCCTGGGTACTAGTTGAGGTAGGCATTTTTATGAAGGAAGGGGGAAAGTAAAAGCTCTGTAATAAACAGCAAAAGAAAGAACAATGCAAAGCTGAAGGCACTATTAGCCAGTTGCAGAATGCATTTTTGATGCGTGAAAAGGTTTTGTGGGCTATTGAACAACATCAGAAGTATAAAAGGCTAATCTTAGCTAACTTTGTGGACAGTAGTGTTTTTTTCTCCTAGGACCTCAAAGCACTTTACAAATATTAATGAATTGAATTAATTTAGTGAACAAATTTAATATAATGAATTGTCTGATACTTTATGGAACCTTATTAAAAGCTGATGTAAAGAGCTACCAGCAGAAGTCATAAGAAGTTTCGTTGGTCCTACAAACTGGAGGAACTGTTCTACATAGTCGTGATCCCTTCTACAGCTACTTTATCTTTTAAGTATTTACACACACACACATATATAAAGCTATATAGCAGTCCTGCAACAAGCCTTGTATCAAACATTAAACAAAATCTAACATTATATATTTTTTTTTAAAAAAACCCTCTTATTCATGAAAAAGGGGAGAGAAGAGTGAATTCTAGGACTGTCCAGTTGGATTTATGTATATTTTGTAAGATGCTTAGATAGTGATGAATTCATAAGTACCTGGTTAAAATAGAATACTCAGTGGTGTGATGCAAGTAAATATTGTCATCATATTACAGATGGTTAAACTGAGACAGCAAGAAGATAAGGGACTTGTCCAAGGATGTATGAATCAGTTGCAGAGCTAGGAATAGAATCCAGCTCTCAAACTCCTACTCTAGCTACTGGCCATCCTTGTTTCAGAGTTGAGGATTGAGCATCCCACCCGGGAGCTTTGGCTTTTGTAATTTTGCAGAACTAAAACATGAGTCTAGCAACAGGATTCCACTAATCAATGAAGACCATGCTAGTTTCTGGCCACTAGTTTGCAGATCCATCACAAGTGTCCTGCTTATCATTTAGTGGAGTATTGGGAACTTCTTGCCCTTATTCCTATACAGATCATGTTTTGAATTTGTGAAGGATATTGGCCTGTCAGCATGTTCCTATGAAGGTATATTACAGGTCTGAGTGTGTTATATGTGGGTATTTGGAGTGCTGGTCTGAGCACAAGAGTGTATATGTGTGCACAAGAGCGGATGTGGAGCTGTGTGGGCATGTATACTTCCTATGTTTGAGCACGCAGGTGAATGTGTAGGTCATGATACACAGCTATGAATGTATACATATTTGTGTGTGCTCAAATGTAGATGTGAGTAGTACCAGCTTCTCTGTGTGTGTCCATATCTGAGCAAGTTTGCGGGGTGTGTGCATCTGTGGGGATGAGGTTGTGTGTGTGTTTGTTTGCATGTGCCACATGGGGCAGCCCCAGCTGAGCTCCCGAGGCGGAATGCTGCTGGTGTATTACTACTATGAAAGGTTCTCCCGGCCTAGGAGCCTTCCCCTGTCCCGCAGGGACTGACCCTGGTAGGTTTGAGCCTCCCCCCGCAGTCAAACAGCGCTTCCCCTTTAAGAGGCCCTCCTGGATTGTCAATCGCAGCGTCCCCTCCCCTTCCTGCAACGGCGGCGAGTGCGGTTCACAGAGCAGCCGCCAGAGCCTGGGCTGGCGAGATGGGCAGCCGGGAGCGGCGGCGGCGGCGCCGGGAGGCTACTCGCAGGGGCGCCGGGCTCTCCGGAGCCATGGGCTAGCGACGGAGCTGGCGAGGGACAAGCCGCAGCCCTGCCGCCCGAGCCCGGCGGGGCCTGGGAGTGTGCGCGGCCAGAGGGCAGCACAATAGCCCGGGAGGAGGGAGCGCGCAACGCGGAGCCAGGACCGAGCGGCGGGGCTCTCCATTGCCCCGCACATCCCTGCCGCCGAGCGCAGCTGCGCCAGGTCCTCGGCCCCCCGCCCGGGGCAGCGGGGGTGGGTGAGATTCACCTTCCCTCCCTCCCACCTCCGCTCCTTTGTCCACGCTGCCTCGGAAGGGCTCCGGCTTGCTGGGTCGGGGGCATTGTTATCTTTGGGCATGCGGGGGGCGAAGTAGGGGGTGTTTGCGGGGTCGGAAGCAGGAGGGGAGGGGACGTTCTCGGACACAGGACCACCGGGCTTTACCTCCCTGGTTTACCTTCATGCGTGGACTGGGGAAAAGATCCATTCCGTGAGTGTGAACCTGTCTCTGGCCGTACTGTGAAAACGCTCCATGTGAAATTCAGCGGGCGGATTCTCTCCACCTCCTGTTCCCCCATCGTGATCTTTTCCCTGGATGCAAAATGGTGGACCCAGTGGGGTTTGTGGAGGCTTGGAAAGCCCAGTTTGCAGACTCCGAGCCTCCTAAGATGGAGCTGAAATCTGTGGGAGATATTGAGCAGGAGCTGGAGATGTGCAAAGCCTCTATCCGGAGGCTGGAGATGGAGGTCAACAAGGAGAGGTTCCGTATGATTTACCTGCAGACTCTCTTGGCAAAGGAGAAGAAGAGCTATGACCGACAGAGGTGGGGTTTCAAGAGGATTTCCCAGCTGCCTGAAGGGGATGCAGAGCTGCACAACCAGGACCCACATCATCACCAAAGCACCGAGCAAGGGGATCCAGAAAAAAACAGACCCCACCACGGAGAGGAGAAGTTCAAGCCAAGGATACCTTCTCTGAGGAAGCTGTCTGCCCAGAGCGATGGGTCGGACCTGTTGCCCTTGGAGAGCCCCCAGCATGGGGAAGGGGAGCAAGACAGGTGTAAATACTACAGTGAAGAGAAACTGAAGAGAGTGGCGGAAGATATGGAGAATCGCTGTGATATGGATGGATCCCCTTCAAAGCACAGGCCCTCTTCCACCCGCAGGCTGGTGGGCTCCACTGAGAAAGAGGGGTCCTTTGAGCCTCTTGCTAAGGACAAAGGGAACGCCACCAGTGTGGCAGCACTAAGGTCCAACTTTGAGAGGATTAAAAAGGTTAATTCACATTGTTCTGGTGATAGCAAGGATGCTGCTGAGAAGCCCTTCTATGTGAACTTGGAGTACCACCATGAGAAGGGTTTAGTGAAGGTCAATGATAAAGAAGTTTCTGATAAAATAAGCTCCCTTGGTAGCCAAGCCATGCAGATGGAACGCAAAAAATCCTTGCACTCCCTCCCGTCTAATGTGGTACCCAGCTTTAATGAGTTCCAGAGGCCGGCCTACCGGGGAAGGTCTTCTGAGAGCAGCTTTGGCTATGATGGAGAATATGAGGATGCTGAACTGAACCCCAGGTTTCTGAAAGACAACCTAATAAATGTCAATGGAGGCAATCGACCCCCTTGGCAACCAATGGACTTTCAGCCCTACCAAAGCATCTATGTGGGTGGGATGATGGGGGAAGGAGAAAGCAAAGGACCCGTACTGCGGAATCAGAGTGCCTCTGATCAGGAAAAGCATCTTACATGGCCCAGGAGGTCTTATTCCCCAAGGAGTTTTGAGGACATTGGGGGAGGGTATACTCCAGATTGTAGCTCAAATGAGAACCTCACATCCAGTGAGGAAGATTTCTCTTCAGGGCAGTCTAGCCATGTTTCCCCCAGCCCCACCACTTACCGCATGTATCGGGAGAAAAGCCGTTCTCCGTCCCAAAATTCTCAACAATCCTTCGACAGCAGCAGCCCACCAACCCCCCAGTCTCAAAAGCGGCCCAGGCAACAGCCAGTCATTGTGTCTGAAGCCACTATTGTGGGAGTACGGAAAACAGGACAGATCTGGCCAAATGATGGAGATATGCCATCTGGGAGAGGTCCTCAGGACAGCTGTTTCCATGGAGATGCAGGTGTGTACATCTTGTTTAAACCGGGGTTTGGTTAATTCACATGTTCGTGTCCACATGTGGGGAAGGAAGGGTGCTTTGGGTTGACCACACAAAGGGAGGCAACGGTCTAAAAAGAGAACCCGGGCTATAACTCAAAGCTGCCCTGATCTGGGGTTGACCTCATAGGCTAAAACTCAAGCTTGGGGTAGTTAAACTTCTTGGAATGAAAGATTTGGTTCCCAGGAAGGCTGACAACTCTGCATCATTCTGGAGGTAATAAATTGGGGTCCATGCAATTTATTTCATGTGTTTAAGACTTTATATAAACCAGTGCCTTGAGTGAAGCTCCTCTGACTCCTTTTTATAAAGATAGAAGTTTGTCCTAGTGTCCTTTGCCAATATTTCCCTTCCTTCTGCTGTTGTGCTGTATAGTGGTTGAACTGCACCCCATAGCTGCATGGGGTGCATGTCAGTGATGCTGTAACCTGGCATTGTTACCCCAGGGCTTTACCAATAGAAATGCTGCTCCCTCATTTCTGTTTTCCTGCCCATTGGTATTTGGGGACCTCAGACATCATTCTGTCTGCTGTATCATCCTTTAATTATTACACAAGCTAAAGGAATGATAATCCAGCCCTTCCCCTGTGTTTTATTGTGTTTTTAAATGAGTGAGGTTCATGGGATGTTAGGAAGCCCTAGATGATGCCTTATGGGAGATTGGTTAGTTTAGCTTTAGCAGACCCAAAACAGAAATGGATTGTTTTGAGAAGGGAGGGGCATGTTTGAACCCATTCCTACATTTATGTATTCAGGGCTGCATCTGACTGAATTTGATGAAATAAGGAAACACTGGGACCATGTTCAGAGTTGGGTCTGGATGAGTAGAAATTAACAGTTAATTACATTGTTTGATTTAAAGGGATATGCTGGATTTTATGTAGACATTTGAACTCCTTGTCATTATGCATTGCAATAGCAGCTAACCTCTTCCTTTGACTCATTTAGCCTTCCAACGTTTAAAGGGAAAGAAATGAAGTGTTTTTCAGGAGTGAAGAAATCCCTGAGATAGGTTTAACAGAGTCCAATCATTCTCTGAGTTTGTATGTAATCTTAATCTCCGTCTCTCTCTTTTTAAGTCAATATTTTAATAAGGGATTAACTCAGATGTCTGCAAACAGGATTGAATTCCTGTAGTAGTGGTGGATTCAAAGCTTTGAAGAGGTTCAAAGAGGGAGGTCTATCAAGGATGTTTTCATTGTCTCAAGTTGCTCCAGTTCTCAGAGTGAGTGATTTAAATGGAAGGAGATCTCCCTGGTGCTTGTTGGAGGCATGTATTTGGGTGAGCATTTGGCTGGAAGGTTTCACAGATACAGTTTCAACCCCCATGAAATTGGAGTTCCATTGTTGTGTTAGTGAAAGGCTGTTCTGTATAAATGTCTGTTTACTATAAATGAAAGCTGCTTGAGCATTCCAAACCTTGGCACCTTGTCCTTGCAGCAACCCCTTCCTTATCAGATTATATATACATATGCGCTGTCTGTTCCATGACTTCTGTGCTCTCCCTTGGTCTTGTGTGTTCTTATGGGATGTAGATGAGAAGCAGAGGGAGGTTGGATCCAATGCTGGTTTAAACTGAGCTGCAGCCATCTGTCTCTGCTCTTTTTGTTTACCTATGTGCTTTAGATGACTGGGGAGCCTTCTAGCTGTTGCAGTTTTCCAGAAAGGAACAATGGGGAGAAAACAACAACGGTGGATAAAGCTTGTTCTCCAAGGCAGATTTTGCCTGCGAGATTGGGCTTCCTGAAAGGCAGTGATCTGATTTTATTTTAAATACTGCTGGATAAGTGAAATACATTATGTGCGAACGTATGTTAACAAAAGAGCCTGCTGGCATCTGAGATCCCCAGACCAACTCCTGGTTTGCAGCCCAATGATTTGTTCCTGGTTATGACCAGAGAACTGCAGGCACATGACCAGGTATATTTTACCTCCCTGCTTTCTCCAGCCTAGGGGATAACATAAGCTGGTTTTGTAGGGGTGGCTGTTTACAATTGTCTAAACCTGGTAAGTAGTGGCTACTTTCTACTCTACTGCAAAAAAAAGGATTCTATGTCCACAAGACAACTACGTTTCTTGTTCACTGCTGTTCATTTCCATTATAAGTCATTCTGCAGGCATGCTGAATGGGATTTTTTCTTATGCTTAGGAAGGTGTATATTTGAGCCTAAGCAAACTGACAGAGTCCTGACTTCATAAAACAAACACAAACCAAAGGTGTAAGAGGCATCATGTGGTGTTCCATATATGGCCTGATAGGGACTATCCTCCACTCTACATGTTATAAGAAAAGGAGTACTTGTGGCACCTTAGAGACTACATGTTGTGAAACTATCTCTTTGCTTCATCCAGCCTGCACTGTATCTGTGCTTGAGCCATGCCACTGCTAGTCCTGCCAATCTTCCCTGAAGCTGTTTGAACAGGATGTGCAGGTCTAGGTCACCGCAGGTTCTGTTCAGCCTTAATGGTAATTAGTGTCAAGTTGGACTTGTCCTACGATATTTGGCTCCTTCATGCATCCAGATTTCATATATTTCCTGGCTTTACATTCTGTGGGTGAATCTTTTTTCAGGACTTTGGTTCATGCTAACACTGAACTGAACCAGGCATATAGACGTGTGCTATGCACACTTCCTCTGTGGGTCTGCCAGTGTATCTTCATGCTAGCCAGCAAACACCTGTTGCTTCAGTCCTAGGCCTCTCGCGCAGAGGCTGCCAGTCATGCCAAACCATGTGTTAGTTCTACGATGTGGATGGGGACTAGGGTGAGATCACTAAACGCTCTCACTTGGGAGTTAAGCCAAGTTTTAAACCTAGATTTCCAGAAATGAGAGGTGTCTAGAATTCTAACAGCAGACCCAGGTAGCGGGGACTCAGCTCCTTTCTGAATGGCTGTAGGGGGGATGCTGCTCCGTGAGTGTGGGCATTTTAATAACTATTTGTAAAATTTCATAAACAACTTTCATCCAACATCTTGCATCCTCAGGTGAATTATGCAACACTTACAATTATTTCATGTAATGCGAGTGGAGGGGGAAAAGTCTTAACATAGTTTAAAAGCTCTCAGATTTATCACAATTATTTGTATGGAGAATGATAACACATTTTCTAATGGATTTTATTTCTTTTTTTCTATCTGCTGTTGCAAATAACCCCATGGGTGCTCCCTGCACGTAATTAAGGGGGAAAAGTAATGTAGGGACCTCTATGAAATGGAGAGGTCTCGTTGTGACCTTGGTCAGTTCAGTTTTTAAAATAGTCTCCCTCTCTTTTAGCTACTGATCACACCAAAATTGTAGCTTGTGTTTATATTTCCAGCTCAGCAGGATGTGGAAGTCTGACGGATGCTTGCTCTGTGAATGAGATGATCTGTGCCCTCATGCTGAAGAGCAAGAAACCCCACATCTAGAGTCTGGTTAGTAGGTAGCCTGCCTGGGTCCTAAGTGCAGTTTACATTCTCCACAAAGACAGTATTTGTCTACAAAGCTCTTTCCTGTGAATACCCTTGTGGCGGTGGAGACTTCTGTCCACCTGGGAGAGCTGAACAAAGCTCTCCTCAGAGTTCTGCCAATGGCACCCCAGAAGGTTAGCAGGAACCAGTGTTGCTCAATTTGGGAATAGGATTTGTATGTCATTTTACTCCATTGGTAATAAGTTTGTAGACCCCTGGTCAGCTCATGGGCAGGGTTTAATAATGCTTATTTTTGTATCTCCGCTAGCACAGAAAGTCAGAGGGCCTCTTCCTGGAGCAGTGCATATAATCAGGCTATGGATGGAGAAAAGTACTCTGAAATGGATCCATGCAAACAGAATGCTTGGCTCAAAACTCAATTTAGGTCCCTTTGGAACAGAATAGCTTTGTAAAGCGTATGCCCAGTCAGGGACCTAGATTCTTCAGTTACAAATGCCTAGCTAGATAGTCAAGCATGTAAGTCCCTGGCTATTCGCAGTATTGGTTTAAAGGTCATTACTGATACCGTTTCAGTGTGCAGCCCAGACAAAGTACAATATAGAGGACAGTGGAGGGAGAGTGTTGTCTGGTGGTTACAACAGGGGATCAGGAGCTATGTTTCCTAAATTCTTTTCCTGACCATACGTCACTTGTCTGCTGTGTGATCTTAGGCCAGTCTCTTGCCCTTGTTATCCCTCAGTTTCCCTGCTAAATTGGGTGCAATGATGCTTAGCCACCTCCCATGGATTTTAGGATGCTTTGTTTCTAAAGTGCTTTGCTATTCCACAGCAATGTAAACAGTGACTGTCAGTGAGGCAGATGCTGTGCCTTTGTCACTGTTTAGAAACAGCACTCTACTATGAGCAGCTAAAATGGGATTTTATCTGCTGCACTTTCCTTCTACTCTATGGAATTTCCTAGGTTTGAGGTTCCCAAAAGTGCATTTCGCCCTCCTTCTCTCAAGGAGAGAAGGTTAGTACTCCCCTTGATAAGGATGGAAGAGATCCTAGTGGCCTTTACAACACGCATATGGTTAAGGCATTGCCACTTACTTTGTGGCATCTAAGTCTAGGGCTGTTGGCTGTAGCTCCTGGCTCTTGGTCTGTCAGTGGCTCACTCAGTCAAGAATAGGAGTACTTGTGGCACCTTAGAGACTAACCAATTTATTTGAGCATGAGCTTTCGTGAGCTACAGCTCACTTGAAGTGAGCTGTAGCTCACGAAAGCTCATGCTCAAATAAATTGGTTAGTCTCTAAGGTGCCACAAGTACTCCTTTTCTTTTTGCGAATACAGACTAACACGGCTGTTCCTCTGAAATCAGTCAAGAATGAGGCTTGGATCTAGTCTCTGACATTTGTCTCTAGTTCATTTTGCTATTTTCTTTTTTTTAAGCCTTTCTCTGTTATAACCCAGCCCCCACTTTAATCCTTTTCAGTACCAGGCAGCGGATTTTCTAGGCACACTAATGACAATACACTGTCCTAAATGGCCCCCTCAGTGCTTTCCAGAGATTGTTTGTTCTTGACATTATTTAGCTGCTTATTATATTGCCCCCCTTCCCAGAGTGCGTGAGCGGAACGCCCTCTTCTTCCCCCACCAGCTCTGACGAAAGAGCTGAAGCTCGTTGCTGATGGCCCTGCTAATGTGATTGAGCATGACCTCTCCTCCTTCCTGTGCACCCTCTTTCTCCTGCAAGTGGATGCAGACTCTCAGTTGTGGCCCTGCACAGTATTCAGAACAGGGAGATGCAGATAAACCGTTTTTTCTCCAGCTCGCTGTGTACTCTGGTTTGTTTTGTTTCCAGTTGGGCCTGGCTATACCCAAAGGACAAGCAGGCTGCAAACCAACCAGTATGGTAGTTGTGTCTGTTGTGAGGATGCTGTTGTCACCATCCTGCTCCATGACAGCAGAGGGCCTTCCTATAGTGTATAGTGTAGAAGCAACAGAAATAGGACTAGCTTCCCCATTGGTGGAGAAGAGAGGAGAGAGATGACTAATAATAAACCTGGGGGAGGTGGGGGTCACTTGCCTACCCTGCCTCTGCATGGAATAGCAGTGGCCATTCACTGTGCACTTGTCCATGGCTCAAGCTAGTGCTGCCAGCATTTCCCTCCTGCCATTTGGCTGAAGTAGAACATTTATTTCATGTGCAGTTATGTGAATATGTAAAGTGATTGCTTTTCAGACTTTTACCAGCTCCCTACAGAGAGCACCTTACCATTCACAGAATGCAGCCACTTGAGTATAGGTCACGGCAGCTATAGAACAATGCCAGCTAAACTACGCCCACGGGCGTAAGGCAGGAAGCAAAGATAATAAGAATTTGCCAACGTTGAGGGGTGGGGTGAGGTAATGTCTTTACTTTTGGAATGTGCTGTGCTTGTGGATGACATGCATGGGGGAGATGGATAGATTTGGGGGCAAAAGATGTCTTACTCAAGTGAAGTGACAGGAATTTTTAAGGAGGCCCAAGTTGAAAGATGGCCAGCATGCTGACCAAATGCTCCCAGTTCTTGCAAGAAGTAATGTAGGCTCTTTAATTATCATTAATTAATTATCCAAGCTACAGTTTTGAACCTCAGCTGAAAGACAGGCCAGCAAAGAAGCCTTTGTGAGTTTGAGACCCAGTAACATGCTTCTGACTTCAGAGTCGAGCACTGTGGTGCACTGTAAGCCTAACAGAGTCCTGTCCCTTTTCCCAGCCCACTGGGGATAATCAGTCACAATGCCCGAGGCAAAAGGGGCCAGTGCTTTGCCTTCAAGGAATTTTGGAGGTCAGTCCATAAAGGTTAATGAGGTAAGACTTGGCAAGCTGGCTGTCGGAGGAGTAATGCTTTGTTTCAGTTACCACAGGAAAACCTATCCGATTGTGGAGCAGAGGCGCAGCTTTCGTGAAGCCACCTTTCCCCCAGAGAAACCAAGACCAGGGCAGCAGGTTGTTTGACTTTCTCCTTTTAGTTTGCTTCACCCACCCAGATAAGCATGAAAGAACTATAAGGGCCTGATTCTGCTCTTACTGTGCTGAAAATTCATTGACTTCAGTGGAGTTACGTCTGTTTCTTGCTGGTACACGTGAGAAAAGAAACAGGTTTTTAGTGCTATATCGTGATTCAGCCAGTGGACCACAAACATTGTCAGAGAGAGAGGGAGTTTGACTGCACATTTTGATATCTAGACTCCTGAGTGTCTTGGCTGGGTGTGTGCAGTGTATGAAGGAAGTCCTCTCAAAGCAGAAATCAAATTCTTGAGATACAAAGCAGTTTTTAGCCAGCGCACCAATTGTAAGGTGTATTATTTTTCTGCCCTGATTTTTAAATTTTAAATTGTGTAATTTACAGAGGGCTGGGATTGTTGTACATTGTAAATAAATCCTTGAACATCAAAGCTTCTGTAAATGCTGAGGCGGGGCTTTGTAATCCGTAACATCCTAAAATTTGTTTTGAATTACAGTGTGCGTATTTTAAGCACTAAAACTGTCACCTGTACAGAGCTGATGCGGGGTGCTCCAGTCACAGTATTTGTATGTGGTTTGCATATCTGTTCTAGTTACTAAAATAATAGTTTCTCTCCCCTTACTCCCCTCCCCCTTTCAAACTTCTACAACTCAAACCCTCTGTTTAACTAGGCAACGGAACAAGATCAGAATCTCCTTTTATCTGAGAGGAAACCCAATGTAAATGTGGCAGCTGGGGCTGGATTGCCTCATGGTCATATGGTTACCTGTCAAATGTGAGTCCATGGTGGCCATACTGTCTGAATGAGCTTTATCAGTGCTGCACATTCACTTTTATATCTGCTAATATTTTTGAACGGTACATGTTGGTATAACAGTCTCTGATGGGGATCTCTGTATTTGCTACCAGCAAATCTAGCATAGCCTACAAAATAAACTGCTATTCTAGTGGCCACTTTTTTTTTGCATCCTAATCCCTACTGCATCTTTCAAAGAAAGAAACCTCTTATGGTGTTATACCAAAATCAACAGTGTTTCTCTGCATGTCACTCCAGATTGTAGTGTGGCAAGGACCCAAGGTGCTTATAGATTGGACTGTGCTTGTAGGAAAGTAGTAGCTGTAGCATATAGCACTGTGTGGATCAAATATTTTTTATCCTGTAATTCCAAACCTATGGGATAGTGGGTTGCAGACGTATCTTAATAATGGACAGCCTGTGTGTTTGGACTCTATAAACTTAGTGCATTTCTGTCTCTGTGTGTGGTGTCTGGGAACACAAGAACTGCACAGGCTTGGGACCTTATGCCTGCTGTTGACCCCCAAAAGACTTAATATCGTAGAACAGGATTCTGATCCGCCTCACCTAGCTCTGAAATGGAGCTACATCTGAGATGGGTTGTGACAGCCATTGTAATGGCACCAGTAATTTGCTGCACAGCATTTTTAGAACAAGGAAGACACTCTGAGTTTCACTGCCTGAGAGTCAGCTGGGTGAGAATGCCCTGTGGGAGCCTGCAGCGAAAGAGGGCTCTTGTTGTTAGAACACGGCCTTAACAGTTCAAAATCCAGTCCCCAAATCATTTTCAAGTATGGACAGTGACAGCCGCACGCTCTGTGAAAATGGGCCAGGAGCATCCCCGTGTAATCTGTTTTGAAGAAAATACACTTAAGTTCCCTGAGCATTGGGCTTCAAACATGCACCCAAGACAGTGAAAACTGAGTATTACTGGTCTGTTTGCACAATATGCATTTCCAATAACATGGAGCGAACTGTATCTGCTACAGTTTGGACTAAAGTCGGCAGGAACTATATATTATTCGGTGCGTTCACCCAGGAAGGTAATAATGACTCATCAGCATGGCTGGTGTCAGCTTCCTATGCTCTAACTGAGACTAGATTATGATGCTCTGAATAAGGCAAGAGAAGGAAGTTTGTGAGTATGTTACCTTCCAACTGCCTCTTAGTTTAGAGCCACATGACATCCATATCCCACCAATCTGATATTTCTGTTTTGGTCCTACAAATTATTCACAGTAGACAATGCTGAAATATGAACATATAAAGTTACAAAAAATAAGATGCTAAGGAAATTTATTGCACATTGTCTGAGGCTTCCTATGCTATTTTTTGGTGCCCTTCATTTTGTGTCACACACACACACACACTCATTGTGTATCTCATTTAGATCCTGATAGGTTGTGAGCTTTGGCTTGGGAGTTCCCTGCCCACATTCTCATGTCTTTTGTGACCACTTGCTTCATGTTCCCCTAAGATCATCCCTGGACCGAAGTTTAACAGGGAGGAAGTCAACATTTTCACATGCCTTGGAGTCTTGCAGTGTCATGTTATTGTCCTTGTTTCAGGGAACCTTGGTATTTGGATGAATTTTCTGCTGGTTGCACTAGTTACTTGTATGGATTTGTGGGTTAGTCAGTAAAAGAACATCTTGTTAATCATCATAGCAGCTCTCCAGTCTGAGCCTAACTGGCTGCTAGCAAGCTTGATGCTTAAACTTAGTAGTGATTAAAAGGTGTTTTATGAAGGGGTTGTGCAGTCTGCGTGACTTCAGGATGATTGCTGTCATGGGAAGGGTGGAGACCACGGGCATGGGGCGACACAATTGAAGTGTGTTGCTTTTAAGGCTATTAAGAGCTGATAAGTAAAATCTCTGAGTTATTCTTTCAGTAAAAAGAAGAGTGAACTCTTATGCCACCAGAGCAGAGGCAGTGGATGACTTGTACTTCCAGTTGGGTGGGAGTACTCTCTTGGTCTAGTAGTAAAGAGCCAGACTGTGAATTCTGCTCTCAATCAGAATCGGACGAAATTTGGCATCTTTATCCTTTCTGTTTCTCTCAAGATGTTTACGAACAGCAACAGCTTTCTTATGTTTACGACTGAAGCTGTAGTAGGATGGAAATATATTCTTCAGCCCTGGGACATACGAGTTGCTCAGGAACAGAGAGCTCTCACTAGAGAGATCAAAGCAAAGTTATCCCAAAAGGATTTCTAACAGTGGAGTGAATTACTTTGCTTTTTTGTGTGCAAGGGAATGGTGTGGCACGGAGCAGAAAGGAGATGATTTCTGCTAGTCGGGGGGGTTTGCAGAAAAGAATTCTATTAACAT